ATAAAGGTATGACAATGAGAGACATATGCGAAAGCCAATCTTATAGAAGCATCTAAAGGTGCCTTCGAGATTTGTTTCTCTTTTTTCTTTTTTTTTTCCTCCCCATTTTTACCCATGAAACTTTATTAATATCCATTTTCTATCTAAATCGATAAGATAGATCGATTTACACCTTTCGAGAGTGTAAGAGCGATATTATCGCGAGGCTCCTTTAATCATGTTTAGTGACGCACCATAGAGATTGAATCGTCACGAAAAGCCATTTATAGCATGCTGCTGCTAAGTTAAAACATGCCCAGCAGAAAGTGATAGACATGAACGAACATAGTATATGATTGAAAGCGAAATCTTATGACGATGATGATGAAGAAGAGATCGTGAGAGATCACTCGTTCTACCTGCTATTGTTATTACTTCCACTTGCGAGCTTCAATGGGAGTTGTTGCTTCACAGGAACATTACTTTGTACTTTCTGCTGATTGGTAGCGCTGATTAAATTCATAGGTATTCTCTTAGCGTCTGCTTGAGACTTCCGTGGTTGTACAATTTCTGTAGCCTGTGTCACGTGTGACAAATGAATTGTCGTTGGACCCGTAGTAGAGCCTGCCTTTAAACCTTGACGTTCCAACGCCTCCAATCGACGATACAATTGATCTCGCTGTTGAGTAACATCCCTTTGTTCTGCAGCCAATTGTTCTCTCTGCCTTGCCAATTCTGCACGTTCCTCTTCCAATTGATTTTTTTCTTGCTGAGAAGCAGCACGAAACGCTGCCTTTTCCCTGCTAAGCTGATCCTGCAAATTTCTCAACTCCTCCAATTGACGATTTGGATTCGGCCTGTTATTCGATGATTTTCCCATACTTCCCTCCTTGCATGCAGCTAATTGCGCTTGTAGACTATCGATTGTCGTCATTTGATTACTGATTATACAAAGCAAAGTATAAACGTGATGGGATAAACGTATCGCAGTCCATTGTTGATCTTTGTTCGCGTCCAATTCTGAACTTTCTTTGTCCTCGGGACTTTCTTTCGAAAATTCACCAACTTTTGGGAGAGATGATCCTACATTCATCGCCGCTGATTCACGTACAGGATATCTTTCCTACAACAAGGACATATGAATGATCAAACATTTTCGAAATTAAATATTCATAGTTCTTACTTTGTTATTATCGAAACCAGCAAATGTTTCTGCTCGTCTAGGAACGCAAAGAGCTGGTGGAACGTAAGCTTCGCTATGGCGTTCGCCCGCTGAACTTAAACTTCTAGAAAGTGTTGCACCACCAGTGCTAAATGACAATGAACTGGCCAATCGTGTGGCTTCCTGTACAGCGACGACAACCTGAAATGAATTGTTTTATTAATAATAATATAAGTTTATTTAATTAATCAATATAAAAAAAAAAATCATTTATTACCTCTTGCCATAGTTGAGTGGTATCCGTCGCCTCCATCTGAACAAGACGTGTATAATCGCGAATTTCTTTTTCCACTTTATCCGTCTTTTCATGATCACTATCATTTTCATTCCAAATATTAGATGCACGTAGAAGTCGTACTTGTAAATTAATTTTTTCTTCGAACAGCAACGCCTGTTCCGCGTCCTTCTTTCGTAATTCGCCTGTAATTTTCGAAACGTTAAAAAATTAAATCGATTAAATTAATTTTATATAATTTAGAGATCGGTGGATCGTGCTGAATTAAATTAAAAATAAACCACCTACCGACAATTCTAAATATGTGCGATTCCTTAGCTTTAATCATTTTTTGCCTTTCTTCGACGGAAAGCATCGATATGGAGGATGAACGTGTATCCCTTAATTCATTATTACTATTGCCATCTATAAGAACGTCCGTGTCATTTTCAGGTTCTTGAGGACAAGCCTCAACCGCCGAACGTATTGCTTGAATCCAGAATTGTTTGTCCTTAGGTTTTTGAACTTTTAACTCAAACATTTCAGGTTCCGCCGGATTGCTACTTATCAAGTATATACCCCTAGATTCTTGGCCAGCTTTTTCTCGTACCAATAATTTTTGTAACGATACCACACTAGCAGCTTTATTGTCCGGAACTAAGAAAGCATATTTTTGATCTCTTTCAACTAAGAAGAATAATATATCGGAAAGAACTACTACAACGATGGCAGTCGTTTTTCCACGACCTTGCATTAAATATGCCGTGCCTTCGAATTTTAAAATTCTATTAAATGCCATTATATCCGATTTTTTGAACTTGGCACCACGGTACGTGGCAAACGATTTCGCGTCGATCCTACATATAAAAACATTATTTATTACATATTATAGTATATAATAATACTGTAATGTAGAAAAGAAAAAGCAACATATGTACTCACTTATTATAAATCTCTAATTTTCTATCTTCCCTTTCTTTATCTGCCACGCACGCATCTACATCAGCTAAAATTTCTTTCACTAGTCCCAAAGCTTTTCTCAAGCTCTCTCCTTCATCTTGCATAATACCGGTTTTAATAAGTGGTTCGACTAGTAATGGATATTTTGTTAAACGTTGTGTAACGAACAATATACATTCTGGAATACCCTTCTTCTTCAACAAAGGATTTGTCTGTAGATTGAGAAAAGTATTGATTTATATAAATATATGTCGTCTTTAATAAATAAAACAAAAAGATCTAAATTATATTGTAAATCACGTTATTACCTGACAGTGACGTACAAAACGTTCAAATCGAGTATCATGATGCAAATAATACTTATAAGTTTCAACGGCTTCTCTATGACGACTACAAAATTCTCCATATGCACTTTTCATACGTTGCGCATTTTCACCTGAGAATTGTTCGACGAGTATGTCGGCGATAGTAGGAACAACGGAATTTGCATTTTGACGTTTACGTAATTTCTGTAGAAATCTTAAATGAATTTCAATGAGATCACGTAATCTTGGAAACATTCGTTCTAGATCTGGTTGTCCCAAACGGAAATGACGTCGTAAACCTTCCACGAAGATCCTTTCCATGGCTAACAATACTAAGCAATGATGTTTCTCTGTTAACACAAATTCATATATATGCTCTTGCCTCTTCACTTCGCGTTCACAATGATCTACGAGACGTGATGCTACGTGTCTTCCAATGGCTGTACTCCATGAATCAAGTTCTTCCTTTCCTAAGCCCAGTTCAGGATCTAAGCCTTCAAGATCACCTACAGTAAACTGATGCGCTTCATCTCCAAAATCGAATTCTTCCCAACCACTGAAATAATAAAAGATAGATAATATATTGTCAATTATATTTATTTATTTATTAAAAACAAAACAAAAAATGGTATTACAAACCTGGAAGCATCCCGATGTGAACCACTACCATCCGTATCCTTTTCCTCATTAATTGTTTGACTGTAATAGAAATAAATTTGTTCATATAATAAATAAAACTATATTATTCTCCTATGCACCCTGAATCTCATCAAAAACTTTTAACAAAAGCATGTAATAATGATGCTTTTTTTTTTTGTGAAAACAATTTCAATATTACCTTCTATACAAACCCCACTGAAGATATAAATTCCTTGTACACTTTATATAATAATGTAATTAAAATATTTATATTTAATAAAACCATTGTTTCTCAATATATCAAAATATCAATGTCAGATACAAAAGTAATATAGAAATATTATTTTTTTAAATTAATTTACACACAAAGGTCGGGTTTCTCAATTTTCTTCAAATTTACACATTATGTATAAGGTATGAGGGATTCAAAGATGCAAACATATTATATATACATTTTCTCCTGTCAATCTAATAACATATATAGTGTCTTCTATTATTAAATAATTTAATATTAATGTTTCAATAATATCTTAGGTCAGTATATTTATTACTTCTAAACAAACTATGAATATAAATCTGATAATTGTATTTTGACCTAAGAAGCACCCCCATTATAGATTTTTTTTTTTTAGAGAGAAAGAATCCAGAAAAGATTGCAGCAACAGCGTACAATAAAAATAAAGTTAAATGTTGTTAAAGTAAGAATAAGTATTAGACTTGCAACAAAGAAGAGATTAAAATAGAGGTTTAAAAGAGAAGAATTCAATCAGGTAGAAATAACGTGAAAAAACAATATGATTGTGAAATTTTTCATGATAATTATGAAAGTAGTTGTTCATATCGCATTAAGGGTGTACTCTAAATCTTAGCCTTATACTTACGATTTTATTTTGCTTATATATATATATATATCTGTTTTACAAGAAAATATTATTGATCAAGCTAAGATTCCAAACATACCCTAGATAGTGGATATTACCTTGAATGAGGTCACAGTGAAGAAGTTAGAGAGAGAGAAAGAGTGATAGAGAGAGAGAGAGAGAGAGAGAGAGAGAGAGAGAGAGAGAGAGAGAGAGAGAGAGAGAGAGAGAGAGAGAGAGAGAGAGAGAGAGAGAGAGAGAGAAAGAGAGAGAGAGAGAGAGAGAGAGTGAGAGAGAGAAAGAGAGATAGAAAAAAAAAGTATAAGTGAATGAACATAAATTATACAAGCAAGCAATTCCGAAGCATAGACAAGCAGGATGATGATCTTTTTTTTTTATGTTAAACTATGTGAGAATTCAATAATGTCTTACTGACAGGATGTGTATGTGTATTGTTGTGAAAAATAATTAGCAAATAAGATTGATACGTGGTTTGTCCTACTAAATACGTAGGATAATACACGACGAACAAAAACGAGCGAACGCTTCGACAAAATAGGAAAAAACACATCAGACATCTGAAACTTACTTGACTCCGAGCTTGGTGGCAACTCGCCGCCAAGGGCTGTAGCTTGTCACTGTTTTCTTGCTGTTAATTTCCCTTTAATCGTCGAACGATCGATCGGTTTGTCGTAGTAGATGCACGAGAGGGAATGCACGGGGGAGGAAAAAGCACACACTGCATTAGGGCAATTTCATTTCGTGTATCGTTTGTTTTTTTCCCTCCTTCAACAATTTCCTTATAGGCGTTCGCTATTTATTCTTCGTAAATTGATACGCGATCCAAGCTATGTGTTAATTATATTTTTCTTTTCATGTTGTTATGTACTATTCGAGAATTATGTAAGTGTTAAAGAGAATTGTTGTATTTAATAGCACATTTCAAATCATGAGGGATATGATCTTTTTTCTTCATAATTATGCATGTAATATGGGGGAAAAAAAAATATGATCATCGTCTAAATTGTCTTTTTTTTTTCTTTTTCTTTTTTTTTTTAGCGGAAGAAAGCATCACAACGACCACTTACCCAAAGCACCATGTTATCGTAAGGTGAGTATTTTTATAAAAGATCTCAGCACAATATTCTGTGCTTCAATATATACATAAACATATATATATATAAAATATATGTATATGTAAATAATATATCAATCGAGATATATGAAAATTTGAGAATACGCGGAAGCCTGCTGTACTATTGATATAGCTAATTGCAAAATCAATCAGAAATAACAAGCTTATGAGCCAGCCAAAATCTCGGAGTAACACGGCGTAAAATACAATTATTCATATTAGTATTTAGATCTAATTGAATTTTTATAAAAATATATATGGATTTGTTCTCATATAATCATATATAAAAATAAAATAAGATATAAATAGATAAATTCGTGGAATGGCATGTTTGAAATAATTATTTTTAAATCGATCCATCCATTTGTTTCATTCATTTAATAATGACGATCGGCAAAAATTTATGAAAAGCTCCGAGCTTGGGCTTAGCCATGCCAATTGCGTGCGAATCTCAACCACAGATACGCGGATTCAATGCATATATTAAATATTTTCGTTGTATACAACATTGATGCAGTTACCTTCCACTTCCAGATGATGTTGGTAATGGTAACGATGCCGTCGAACCTCTTTTCACGCTATTGTTACTTGTAACCGAAGAAATACTCGATGTTGATTTTATAACAGCTTTTACAGACTGATGCTTAGACTTGGTACATTCTGATACCAAATGATCCTTGCATCCTTGACTTTGATGTACCGATAATCCGCAATCTAAAACAATAAAATTATAGAGATAAATTTTAATTTTAAACTCATAAATTTTCATACAGATTTATTACGCTTACTTTCACAATGAAGAATAGGTTTACTCGTTGATTGCTTCATGCAAACATCACATTGATGATTTCCCTGTGCTCCAGTTGTCATTGTGGTCCATGCATGTTGCTGTTGACTATTTTTCTTCCCACTTTTATCCTATAATAATATTATAAAAAAAAAAAAAAAAAAAAAAAATTAATTGAAAAAATTGTCAGAGAGCATAATGAACACAGTAAGAAACATTTATTTACCTTTTTCTTACGGAAGAAAATAGAGCCACGCTTTCTTCTGGTCTTCTCAGAATGTTGATCATCATATGCAGTTCCTCTATAAATTAAAAAGTACTATTTTATTTTTTTCTTTTTTCCATGATCTAAACATTTTTGAATTAATTATAATTTTAATAAAATAAATTAATTAAGTATACATTAAAATAATACATACAATGTATCATACAAATAAGCACTTTCTATTCTTATAAACGAAATACTCACGCGTTCAACGGCACATCAACAGATAACTGGACATTTGGAATGCCCCTTTTGTCTTCAAGATAATTATGACTATGTAATGCGTGAAAGTTATGACGTTGCAGTTCATGCAACGCCTCAAAGTACCCCCACCCGTTGAAAATGGCGAGACAACGCGAGAAACGATGACATTACATGACATTCTAAGGTATTATGAATTGTATTTTTGTATATACAGAGAATTAACATTGTACAATTAATTGAATGATTTTGTTTTCAATTCCAAGAATTGAAAAATCTATTTTGATTACAACTTTCTACAAATCTAATATTATTTATTTACATTCGTATTTCTTCATTTAAAGGCAGACACATTTGTCATATAAATGTAATATAATTCTATTTGACCTTCCTTAAGAAATACATTATATTACTTTAACTAAAATGCATCGTTTTGCGTTGTTATCAATACATGAAAAACTTGAGTAAATAAAGTTTTAGCTGGGAATCATCAGTTCTAATAATTCGTGTTTTTACAGTGACGTAGTATGATCGTCGATTTGCATTTATCTTATAGATAAACGCTACACTTATTTACATATAGTTCAAAAACAAAAACAAGCATTTATGAATCACAATAAATTAAAGTTTAAGTATTTCGTGCATCAATAAATTCTAGTTAGAAGTGATGGTAGCAATAATGTTTTATGATATTTAACTAAAGATTTTTGTATAAACATTGCAGACATATTTATATCGTTTACATTACAAGAATAATGTTGACATTTGTAGCAAATGGATAAACATAAAACAACTTACGCTGTACTGTGAGGTATTGTTCGTGTTCCGGACTCAGTGAGATGCGTATGAATTGGCGGTGTAACGATGGAAGGGGTTGAAATAGATTTCTGGAGAGGTAAACGTGCACCAGTTAAACCTGGCATCAAACTGCTACTTTCACCTAATCTTTGACTATTTCTTTTTAAGACAATCTTCTGATATTCACTCTGTGACAGGAAAGTACATACGTATATTACTATACCTGTATTTTTGACCAATGTTTCTAATCTAAAATTACCTGCACAAGGTCTGCCTCATTTAAGGAATGAGTACTTGCTTGTGATCTGCATGCTCGATTACCTACCCCTACAAGTCCACTACAAGATTTTCCATCTAGTTCTAGTTCCATTTCACTGTCCAGACTACTTAAACTAATGCTGCGTTGTCGCTGAAATAATAATGAGTAATATTTTGCATTGACATTAAAATAAAAACAAATCATTTCAACAAAGTAAAATTTATATAAAGCGATTAAAAATAAAAAGAAATATAAATAATGCACGAACAATCGATAAATTTATATTTAATATATATTAACCATATTTTGTGCTTGCAGATGATTTTGCCCGGAATATCTGCGTCGACCACGTCTAGTATCTTCCAAATCTGTCCAACTTCGTCTTCTGTCTATGCCCTGTACAGGTTGTGCATGAGAGTTCATAGATGGAAAATGTGTCGGAGAGCTATTGGTTGAACAGTTAACAAGGAGATCTGGATCAGATCCTGCTTCATGATTATTGGAACGATGTCCACCCTCTATAAGTATCAATGGACATAAGGAAGGACACGAAAAGGTCAGTCTTTGAGGTACATCGTGGGGCATACGATTATTGTTTCCCAAAGTATTCATCGTCAAGTCTCTCATACGTTGAATCCAGTCATGAATTTCATGCAAATGCTGCAGATTGTCCTCTGTAAAAAAAAAAAGAAAAAAAAAAAAGAAAAAAAAATCGTAATTTCAGTAATTAGATACAGACCGATGAATTCTTATTAGTTAGATATGAAATTTGATCCAAAATATTTACCTAATACAGGATAGTTCTTAGCAAAACCAGGAGAATGAGGTGTGACACTAATAATGGGTACAAGAGGATTAGGCTGAGTTTGAATATTAGTACCAAGTGTAAGCAACGGATGTTGCTGTTGCTGCTCAGAATTCCCTCCAGACATGGTGATTGTTTTATTGGTATTATCTTCGGTATAACCAGTTTCTGTGACTATATTTCCATGTAGACTCAGGCCACCAAGATCTCCATTAATAGTAGGCACACGGTCACAGTCGGAATGCGATGAGCCAAGATAGTCCGTTATTACATCCTCTTCGCTATCCTCTCCGCTATTGGGACATTCATCTAAAAAAATATTGATATTGCTAATATACACTTGTAATTAGTTGAAAATTTATAATACGTATCTATTCCCATTGTTCTGTCTAACTTGTTCTAATTTATTTTCATTTATGCAATGCCCACCTTTTTGTAATTAAATTAGGTATATATATATATATATATCAACAGATCTGAAGAAGAAGACAAAGAATCAAATGACATACAGGGTCGCACAATAAAGAGAATGAAAGTGACATGCATCGCCAAACGACGACACACTTTGCGAACCGTATCGCGGTAGAGAAAAACCGATATTAGAACGTCCTCGCACCTATTGACTGCGAGAAGAACAAACAGAAACGTCTACCGACAATCGAGCCAGTCTCCCGATCTTTGTGTAGCGCGACGATGACACTATGAACCATATTCAATAGAAATTAGGTCAAATTATTCCGCGCCAGGTACTATTCCTACTGCACCGATGTCACAAAAGAAAATTACATAGACGAATAATTCGATAAAAAAAATCTTCCTTATCTTCATTAGGAAAAAAAAAAAATAAATAAATGTATAAATAAAAAAAAATAAAAGAGAACTAAATCAAAAATGAAAGAATGATACGATTACCTCGTTATAATATTACGTTAAGTATTGACGTATGTATGAAGTCGTAGTTCCATGATTGGTAAAACATCAAGTACTACACGAACGGTGACATCGAGAGATAAGGATTACGTGTGGAATGAAAAGAAAAATAAAATTCGTTCTATATTTGGAACCGCGGGAGCTCATCGATAAAGATCATCAATTCTTATGATATCTTATTTAACGGCAGGTGTTTTAAATTTTTAGAGAAATGCACGTAGGAAGAAAGAATGAGAGGGAGAGGGAGGGGGGCGGATGAAACGTTTCGCAGTCACGTTTCCTATTAGCAATTTTTACCCTCGTAATTCTTTTTCACAATTTGTCGTAATTTATATCGTGAAATAATAAATACAATCCTCTTATCGACGTAATAGAATAAATTATGTTATGTTTCGTTTACACACCGATTTAATTTATCGTAACTTATTGTCATTCTCGTAACCAACGATGGGCTGCATATAAGTAAGTAAGTAAGTAAGTACAAGACACGTTAGCACAGTCCTCGAGCACTTCTTTTCCGGGTAGCAGGGGGTAGACAGACTGTTGCTCTTACCCGTAGCGCTGCTCACAAGCGCAAAGCGAATTGATCCGCCGTGCGCGCTACCCCACCTAGTAAAAGCACCGCCACCATTACTACCACCCCCCACCCCATTACCACCCGCCGACCTTCAGAACTTTTACCTCCGCCCACCAAATGAGACTCGTCTTTTTCCCTTCCTGTTCCTTCTCCAAAATCTACCCACACACGTGACACACACCTGACGTATACTCTAATACATATCTACGTATTTATGTATATATGTATGTCTCTACATATGTGTATGTCTATATATATATATATATATATATATTCATATAGATACATATTGACGTACGACTTCTCAAAATATTTATCAGTTCTTCCAGTATTTAAATGTAGTAGTTAAAAAATACTTTTTTTCCATGCTTTTAACCAAACTTGGCCCAGACCGTGATAATGACACTCTCTCTCTCTCTCTCTCTCTTTCTCTCTCTCCCCTCTCTGTCTATCCGTTTTCTCTTCCTCTCATATTGCCAACTTGCCTCCTCCACATCCCTTCCCTAGCAACTCACCCTTCTTCTCTACCTTTTCATCTCCATCTCCACCTTCCCTACGTCGTCTTTTTTTTTGTCATCCTTTCAGTCCTCCGATTCACATCATACTTCACAATTTATAATCATTCTACAGGCTCCAATTTTTCTCCCCTCCCCTTCCTCTCTTATATATATTCTCTTTACACATTTATTTTAAACTCTTTGGCGCGCTATTATATACGATAGATATTTGATTCAAATTTTCGATATAAATGAAATCATCGATCAAACGACGATATATCCGTTAATCCATCGAATTTGTAATGTTGTCCAATAATCGTTTTATCATTGATTGAAACGTAATGAGAAGTATTAACGCTTCTTGTTATCTAGATAGAAGAATCATATGACGCTTTTAACAAATACATTATACGTTATCACAATCGCGCCATTGATTTTATATATCTTTTAATTGTTTAGATCATACAATTACAAAGGATACTTATATATCATAATGATTTGTTATATGTAATACGTTATATATATATATATATATTAATTCGATATTTCCTTGAATAATTAAATTTTATAACTTCTCATTTGTAAACGATGTCTTCGTTGTACATGTAAATATTTGCGAGATAATTATTGGTCGAAATTTATTTCAGTATCACGTGATCTACGACCAATGAAATATCTACTTTTATATACGACCGTTTCACATATTGGAAGATTATTATTGTATCGCGTCGACCGTAGCGCTTTTACGTAAAAGTAGAGATTTATTTTCTTTTGAATAAGACAGATCGCGCGTGTAATTTGATTTCAAATCGTCTTGTTTCGATATGTCAAATATATTTTTACGATATATGTCGAGTGAGTATTGACTTTTTCTTAATCAACAAAATTTTGATTTGTTTCATTTAATATCAATATTTTATACTTATCTTTTATATCTCATAACTTCAATCACTTTTATATAAATTATAAATACCAGAATACATGTAATCTTTTTTTTTTTTTTTTTTACATATGTTATATATTATAATATATACCATAACCATAAATAGAATTGAAAATGTTACATAGAGAATATTATGTTTCGTTAGTAGTAAAAAAATTTCTATATCTTTTTTACCTATTTTCTATTGTTATTTAATTAGATATAACAAATACACATATATATAGAGAGAGATATATATAGTGTTTAAAATAGTTCATATTTGTTTATAGAACTTACACTTTTAGTAAGATAAGTTACAAAAAGAAAAGGAATAAGAAGAAAAAAGGCATTATTTATACAAGCAAAAGTTATATTTTTCTTATCAGGTTAGTGCGATAAAAAAGTTTTGTTACTAACTGAAAGAGATATAATTTTATTACATAGGAAAAGCATGATTTAAAAGATTATAGTTAAATTACAATATAATATAAACTTACCAGACGAAAATGGAGCTAGTACCTCCTGCCGTTTCTCCATGTCTTTTTTTTTTTTTTTCTTTTTTTTTCCTTGTCTAATTCTGACGATGATTTAAGAAATATTTAATTTCTTGACGCAATAATCTGAAATATTGTAAAAATCTTTAAATGTTATTCTACCAATTTTATATCATTGGAATAATATTAATCAAAGGATAATCATTTAAATTTGTTCTTGAAAGGGAAAATATGATTTTTGACTTTTGTATAGGAATTAACTTGATGTTATTAAAAATTGACATGGGCAAAGAGGAAAGCATTAATCGTACGTGCATTTATTTCATACATCGAAAGGGCCTACGTACACACTTTGTTACCAAAGGAAGCCGTATTGACAGTTGTACATAGTTTCACTTATATCTATAATAATAGCATCAAAAAATACGTACCGAAAATGTTATTGTTTTTATAAATCCATTAGTATCGAGTATACCTTATTTTGCCTACGTTCTTTATAAAATAACGAAATATTGTAACACAAAATTATTTCTTACATCGAAGGCACGTCGACCATTTTGTACTAGCTAAAGTATATACGGTCGGTAGACAATACAGTATAGCAAAGGATGGAGTAATAATCTGCCTGCATTGGCTGTAACGTTCAAAAATAGATAAAGGAAAGATAATTCACGCGTATGCTTTTCCAGCATTTTAAGTAGAAAATATGGAGATGGCGTATAGATCTAAAAATAGCGATTCATTTTCCATTAGTTGCTTTATCATTATATAAAAAGAAAATAAACGAATTAGAGTAGAACGATTTTCAAAATAAAATATTTAGATGATAGATATATTAAAAAATGATTGGTCAGCTTTAGACGGTATGCTTTATTAATTGTCCAATCTGTATGAACTTTTAATAAGAAACGTGTACGTAAAGTGAATATAAATGTTGGTAATAAAAATAACCAGGTACAGTCTAGTTATTTTAGAAAACTATAAGTGGCAATGGAATGTATAAAATTTTAAGAATGAAAGGTGTCAATGTGGAGAACTGTCAGAAGTGTCGAATGACGTTATTTGATTACAAATAGGAATAAAGTATACTCACATATATTTATATATGTATATATATATATACATATGAATGTACATATTTATGTGATAAGAGGATCATATTATTATTTATTATGGTATATCAAAAGACGAAATAATGAAGATGATACAATCGTTATACGTAGTATTACATATATGAGTGTATTAAAGTTATATGGATAACCTGCCTACCTATTACAATCATTATCTCATCGATTTCTGATTAATTACATATCATGTTTAAGAAATGTTTTCTGCGTTTTTAATGGTATTATGTGTATTTTACTATGAAAGCAAATAATGGAGGTTTCCGAGACGCGAAACCTCGTTAGAGATTTAGATTTGACCCTACAACCCCGTATCGCACCACGATATAAAACTTGGCTACCCTTTGCTACACAGCAGGTAATTTATTCTATATACTGTATGTCATTTTTTTTTTTTTTTTTTTTTCGTTGACAATACATTATATTTTATAATTTGTAATCGATTAATTCAATGTATACAAATTTATATACGTGTATACATTTTGAATAATATGATTTGGTGTTCCTTATAAACAATATCTTTTCCTGCATGAAATATATGTTTTAGTTGAGACTTAGAAGTTTAATCCAAATAATTGGATATAAATTGAGGACAAATGTAAATACCGAGATTTGTTGGTTTTATTACACTTTGCATAGAACAACTATGTCATCTCCAATATATACAAGCGAATTAATAGATAATGCGAATCCTAGATGGTCTAGTCTGGAAGTCCCTACTTTACATGCCACAGGTTACTCATCTGCCAGTGGTGAGCTTAACAATCTGTTAGTACTCATAATCGCAGTTTTGTATTAAAAATGAGATAATTGATTGTAATTTTTATCAATGGTATAGTCAGATTTTTATTTAATTTATTTTGATTCTATGAAATAAAATAGATAATAAATATTATACATATACATATATATATGTATATATCTTTTTTACAAATAGAAATAATTCTAAGGCTATGGAAAAGAACAGCTGTCGATAATAATACATCTGACGTTACTGTGTTCACATGGGGTATTTCTTTCACTGGCCTGGCATATATTGGTCCTAAATTACCCAACAACTTGGAAATAATTCTAAAAGAAAATTCTATAATTTTTTACTTTAATGGTGGATTTTTTACACCTGCATATTGTTTTATAACAACACCAGAGTTGAAAAGATATCTCCGTATAAATGTTAATGCAAACGAAGTAAAGGATAGCTATACTGTAAATAAATTGACTAGTCTGAGAAGCAAGATGCAAGCACTTAAACAACAGACCAATTCAGTGATAGCTTTAAGAATGCGCATTGCCTCTGGTGATAATTTTCAAACGCCAAAATATCCTCAATCTTCTCTAAACCGATTATTTCAACCTCGTACGGTTAATAGGGAAAAAAAAGCAGAAATACTTAAAATACGTAAGGAGTTAGAAATGGCCAAATTTAGAACAAAACTATTAGAACAAGAAAGGGCAAGAAAAATGGGAGAATTAAGGGTATTAAACCAATTGCATGCAACTATTGCAGAAGAAAATCAAGATCATGGTATATATTGAATATATTTTATTTATGAGTTGATACGTAAAAATTTAATTTCTTATTAATGTAATTTTTTAATATAAATTAAGATAATCTACAATTCTCTTGTATACAGGTTCTGATTTGATGGAAAGATATAGAGAACTCAACAAAGATATTGAAAGATTGCACGAATGGCGTCAAAGTCATGTAGATACAAGAGAAACTTACATTCAAATGAGCAGCCAACTGGCTCATCGTCGGCGTCAGTTAATTTCGGAATTAAGCTTAATTTATCCTGTTAAACAGGTATAATAATTTAAACAGTTAATATATAATTTTTAAATTTATATATTTCACATTATTAATAGCTTAATTAATTTCGAATATTATATTATATAGGATAGCAATGGAAAATTCACAATACATGACATACATTTACCAGATAGTGAAGATTTGGAATTGTCAAATGATACACAAGTAGCTGTGGCATTGGGTTTTGTGACACACACAACACAAATGATCGCAAATTTTCTCAATATACCCACCAGATATCCTGTTATACATTACGGTTCTCGTAGTAAAGTTATTGATCACATTATAGAAAGCCTTCCTGATAATGATAGGCAGTAAGCATTATCAATATTTTTCTTTATGAATCCTTAATAAATAGAATATTCTATAAAAAATATTATTTTTTATAGATTTCCATTATTTGCCAGAGGTAAAGATAGATTACAATTTCACTATGGTGTTTATTTATTAAATAAAAACATAGCACAATTACGCTGGTATTGTGGTCTTCCTACTACTGATTTAAGAGCAACATTATCAAATTTAGCAACCTTATTAAAAATGAAGCCAAACCAATCACAGTAAGTATATTTGCGTTAGTTCATGTATTGTGCCAAATCTTTTAATATATTTTAAAAAGATAATAATCTTTTACAGTTTGGACAATTCAAAAAGAACATTTTCTACTTCATCATTAGATACAGAAGTAGGTAACGGTAAACAGAATGTTCCTCTTACACCACCAATACAGAAAATTATTTTTGAAAAATGCCATAGATCGTCGCGGTCAATGGGCCAATTAAAATCAATAAAATCCTCCCTGGGATCTTCTTTAGATCAAGGTCTAGATAAACCTGTACAGCCTCTTGTTTTAGGTAGTCAATCGAAACGAATTTGCAAATCGGAAGAAAGTGCCATAGATGATAGAACATTAATGTTAGCTAGAAACAGATCTGGCAATAGCAGTAATGAAACATTAAATTGTACCACTCTGACTAATACTATCAGTGCAAATGTAAGTGACGATTTTCTTCAAAATAATGATAATGTTACAATCGACAGTAATATTGAAATAACAATACCTACATCTGTTTCTAAGTCAGCAAATGTTACTGATAGTTTAGAAGGTTCTGTCAGTATTAGGGATAGGAGTTCAAATTCTATAAGTAGCTGTGAAATGGCCTTAAGCAATAGCCAAAATGATGGAGATGAAAGCCCAAATGATAAAAATACGATCAAAAAAGGGGAGAATGAACAAAATATTTCTTCAAATCATGACAATGCAAAAAACATTGGAGATAGCGCAAAGAATACATTGAAAAACGGAGAACATACGGATATGTTACATTTAGAAAATAATATTTCGGAAGATTATTGTACACATTATTATGCCCAAAATGATCATAATTGTGATGTTTTGGAACAATCTCCTTTCATGATTAGTTCATGTAAAGAACGTATTGCTAAATCCTGTTTATCTCTAGATGATATAATAGGATGTACTTATGATGAAGCTGAAAAGAAAGAAAGAACAAATTCGATTTGTAGCTATACAGAAAAATGTCACTTAGCTAATAAAAAAACATTAGATAAACAATTTTCTTCTCAACTAAGGTAAGATTCATTAAATGCAAATTTTTAAAAACAACACATTTTTAAACGTAACAATATCACAGAAGAATATTATTATATCTTTACTCACTATAGGCCAAATGAAGAAGTAGAGCAACAAATTGAAAAATGGTCAGAAGAAAATGATGAAGACATCTGTATTAAATATAATGCAATGGTAATTGTCAATAACATTTGTTTATCTTTATATATATATATATATATATATATATATATATATATATATATATATATATATAGATAATATATAAGATATAGTATATATATGTTTATATATATCTTATCTTAACATACACAATTATTGTATTTATTATTTTCAGCATAAAGATTCCATAGTAGCAACACAAAAATGTGACAATACTATTACTGAATACAACTATATGCTTGAAGAAAAAGATAAGCAATGTGACTTTCAAGCATCAAGCGATTATATAGATATTATTAGACGCAGTTCAGAAGATGTTTATGCACGTACTGAAGCCTTAGCTAATAAGAAAACTAGCTTCAAAGTTATGAAACCACGGCTGTAATATTTATTAATTCAAATATAAAGTTATTGTATATGCGAGTAAATCTTGTAAAAAAATTCGAAAGAGTTATTTAGTACATATAAAATGTGTTAGGATCGAAGTATGCAACTTTGATCAAGTATATCTTTATTATTGTTGCAGAAAGAAAATAGTAAAAGAGAGGAGGGGGGTTGCATTGTTTTATAAATATTATTTTCTTAAAACTGTAATCGCCGTACACATTCGAATACAACTTTATATCATAAAATGATAATATAATCGTAGTACTTTTTCATAGAAGTTGCATAATTATAATACATTAAAAATCGTAGAAAAAAAATCATGCGATTCTATTAATAATAACTTGATAGTTTTTTCTATCTTTAATAATGTTCTATAGCTTGTTGAATTACACAACTCATTCTGTATATATCTATATAGTATTTGTGATTTATATTTTATTTATTATCTCTTCAATAATTAATATTTTATGAAGCAGATGATATTATGTATATTTCTAAAAAAATTTCAAATTGTTTTTCTGAGCTTCTCAGCTATGTTGGGTTTCTCCTTATAATATAAAGAATAATATATAAAAATGTAGATTTTTGATTTTAAGATTATTTAAAGATTGGATAAACTGTATAAGAGGACCAACCAAAGTTCTGAAGCATTTACCGAATGTGATCATAATTTATTAGATAAATATTACATTTATACTTGGATTTATTAAGATGATTAATGAAATTTTTTATTTAATCTTTCTTAATTAAGATGATACGTTATAAATAAAACGTACATGTTTCTTTTCAAGTTTTAAATGACAATTAAATGTTACAAATATGCCTATAGTTTTTTTTTTTTTTTTTTTTTTTTTTTTTTTTTTTTTTTTTTTTTTATTTTTTTTTTTTTTTTTTATATATATATATATATATATATATTTAACACAAATATTGCAATATAAGAAAAATACAAAATTAAAGCAAGATTGTACACATATCCATGACTTATTATTTACATTACAATTCACGTTTCTGAGATATCTTAAAATATAATAGTATTATACTTTATGTTGTGTTCTACTTGTATTTTCAAAAATACACTTTGCTTCTAATAATTTCATAACATAATTACATTTATTGTAAATTGTATTTTAAAAAAGATTATTTCTTCTATGTTTTAATCTATATCAGTGAAAAAATTTTTTTAATATTGTTGAAGACTTTTATTTGTAACATTCTGTTTGTTTTTCAGCTACTTAAGTTTAGTTGGCTACACCATACAGAATATTATAATATTCTGTTGGTAATATCTTGTATATCTCATGCATATTAACAAATGCAGTAATAATGCAAAAATTCACCAAATTATAAATAAACATTTTTTAAAAGAATAGTGATAATAAAAATACATACCACTATATCTATTACAGTACTAATTTATATACAAAAATAAACTTTGAATGCCCAAATCGTTTACAGTAAAAAGATGTGAATCAGATGAATCATTTATTTTGCAGTCTCTTTGGCAGCTATCATTTTTTCGCTTACTTCCCATAACTGAAGTGCTATTTTAGGATCTAATTCCTTTTCAGAAACATAAAGCTCACAATTTCGATAAATATGTCCACTTTCATCGGCTAAGGAAGGTTCAATGGCACAATGTAGCACAGTTTGTGCACCCTATAACAAAATTTATGTAATTGACAAATTTAATTAAGAAAATATAACAAGTATAACTTTATCAATAATCACACTTATTAAAGTACTATGTTACCTGGTTTGCAGTTCTTAGAAATAATAAAGCAATTGGAGAGAATAAAATATAATGAAAACGACTTCGTTTGACATTTCTAAACAATCCTGTATAAGCAAATCCAGGACAAACCATATAAACATTCACATTGTAATCTTTCATTCTCTTTGCAAGTTCCATGCCGAAATATGCATTTGCTAATTTTGAGTTACAATAACCTGGATTCATACGTCCTTTAGTCGTTATACCCTTTTCACCATTTAAATTTGAAAAATCAATAACACCTGATTCTAGGAGTTTAGATGTTACAATAACAACTCTGTAATCAAAAATATATAAGATACAGATCGTACAGTATAAATTATTATTTTACTCAAATTGATTTATAACTAACCTGCTAGGTGCATTTTCTTTAAGACGGTCTATAAGTAAATTGGTTAATAAAAAATGTCCAAGATGATTGACACCAAAGTGAATTTCAAATCCATCTTCGGTAATTGCATGGTCCTTGAGTGGTGTATATATGCCAGCATTATTAATTAATACATGAATTTCAGGAAAATTCTTTAATACTTGAGCTGCAAATTCTCTGATGGATGAAAGTGATGCGAGATCTAATTCCATTGGAATCTATAAAATTGTAAATACAATTATAAATGAAATAATGTTTAAAGATAAAAGAAATGAATGTAATAATATTAAACAAAAATCATTTATACTAAGATAGAGATACATTGCTTAAAAATCTAGAATAAATAATTATATAAATCCATAAACTTTGAGTAAACTTACCAGTTCGCCGTTAGAAGTTTGATGACGAATTTCAGAAATAACATTTTTGGCATTTTGCATATTTCGACAAGCCATAATGACTGTAGCTTTTCGTGTTGCTAATTCTTTGACTGTTTCTTTACCAATACCAGAATTAGCTCCTGTTACAATAAAAACTCGACCTTGTAAGCTACTCGTATTTTTACATCTTCCCCAAGTACATTCACGGCATTTTCGAAGAAATCCAATTAATAACACAACAGGTAAAACAAAATAGCACCACGAAGATACCATATTTGTTTTTAAAAAATTTATTAAGTCAATTTTATCACAGTTAGCATCTGCAAATGAAAAAAATTTCGATGTTACATCAAGGAGGTATCCTTTTAATATGTGTACATATATTTATGCTAATTAAATCACTTGGATTATATATATACATATATATATGTATATATATATATTATATATATATATATATATATATATATATATATATATATACATGTGATATAATTATATAGAATATGTTTATATAGAATATAAACAATTATTTATATAAATAATTGTTTCTTAGTTAACCTAACTTTATCCACATATATATTTATCTATGGAAGAATTTATGAAAATAATGCGGTAAAGTAAGAATGTAAATCTCTGATAAAAATATTCTAAAGGAATTTTTCTTAACTATTATTCTATATAATAATTATCACGAAGGAATATTTTTTTCTACATACACAAATTGTAACTTTTTTATATTATCATCTCTTACCGCTTCTCACCACTCCTCAATGACCATTGATGTAATTCAAATTTATGGCAAGGGGTTATGTCTCTCTTTTTTTTTTTTATAAAAATAATATCATACGATTTAAAAGATCGAAAGAATATGTATATTATTATTTATACATATCTATTAGTAACAAATAATAATATTTTGTCTGTAAAAAAAAAAGATGCCGATAAAAACGAATGTTTATAATTAACAAAATAAAAATATTTAATTTCATTATAAATTATACTTTTAACGAATAGATTCTTGCATATCAATTTTAAGTACATTTTAAAAATTAGATATACCATTTTATAAAACTGTGAAATATATATTTTGAATTTTAAATAGTTTCTTTATGTGTCGATTGGTCAGTTATCAAATCCTTCTCATGCATTCGTTGCGCGTATGTAACTAGAATGAACCTATAAAACAACCTTTAAATATGAAATAATTAAAGAAGTAATTAATAAAGTATTCATAGTATATTTTTGGAACTTATATATTATATACATAGACCTTTGTACCATCGTACATATTTCTCATTTTTATTATTTGTATTATTATTATAAATTTTAATATAATTAATAAAAATGTTTAGGTCTGTTTTTAATAAGCCCGTATTTAATATTACAAAAAAACGTAAGAAATTAAAAGCTTTTAAATATACAATTGTATAGTTAACATGTTTTTGTAATTGTGTAAACAAATTATTTTAATTTGTTAATGTATTCACAAAGTATTATAAGAAATACCTACAGTATTGAAATAATGTATAATTTGTATATATACTGTTATTTTCTTTTCTAGATTTCGGAACTGGTCTTGTTTCGAAAAATAATACAATGAACTCATTTAAATATGAAACTTTATCTGTATCAATGCCAAAACCATTTGTTTGCATGGTACAATTAAATAGACCTGAGAAACGAAATGCTATGAATGGTAAAATGTGGGAGTATGTAATTATTTATATCTATTATCTATTGTATTTTTTAAATATTACATTTATTTATATATTTCTCTCTATAGAGAAATTAAACAATGCTTTGATGATTTATCAATAGAGCCAGACTGCAGAGTTATTATTTTATCAGCCATTGGGAAAATGTTTTGCGTTGGTACTCTATCATTTTTTGCTATTAAATAAATAAAAAATTTTTTGATTTTCATATATATAAAATTATTATTTGATATAGGTTTAGATTTACAAGATAATATAAATATTTATCAAAAATTATCAGAACATGAAGATGTTGCACGAAAATGTAAAGTTTTGGAGTTTATGATAAAGAAATATCAAGATTCTATCAGTTCTATAGAAAAGGTATTTTACACATATTATAATATTTATTGTATTTGTCAAATTAACTATATTTTTTTATATTTATTAGTGTGCAAAGCCAGTGATTGCATCTGTACATAGCGCTTGCATAGGTTCAGGAGTAGATATGATTTGTGCTGCTGATATACGTTATTGTTCCTCAGATGCATGGTTTCAAATAAAAGAAGTTGATATCGGAATGGCAGCTGATGTTGGTACTTTGCAAAGATTTCCAAAAATAATTGGTTCAGACAGTTTAGTTAGAGAACTTGTTTACACAGCAAGAAAGTTTTCAGCAACTGAAGCATTGCAGTGTGGTTTTGTCAGTTCTGTATTTGATAGTCAAGAAAGGTAATAAATTATTTAAAATATATTTTCAAGTTATATAATAATAATCCATTTATTTTTATATAGTTTGTTGAATAAGTCGATTGAAGTTGGTGAAAAAATTGCAAATAAAAGTCCTGTTGCAGTACAAAGTTCCAAATTAAGTTTGGTATATTCAAGGGATCATTCTGTTCAAGAAGGTCTCGAACATATTGTAAGTTTTTTATTATTCCACCTGAAAGTAAATAACACACATATTATATAATGTTTATTAAATAGATAAATTTATAATCATATTGTGATTAACTTGACATTTGTTTTAATAGGCTATGCATAATAAAACTATGTTACAAAGTGAAGATTTCGTAAATGCAGTAACTGCACAGGCAACACGAAGTGATCCACCTGTCTTTGCAAAACTATAAAACTTCTGTATTATATACTTCAAACAGTTTGATTTATTAATGTCTGTGAAGGAAAAAGCTCAATTATTATCAAATATTTTATATAAAATATATTAGATACGTTTTTATTTTGATTATACCTTTATATTGATATGAAATATTTTATAAGGCACTATTAAAGTATATTTATTAATATTAATAAATTTTATTTTTTATATTTATTACTCCAACAAAAATTTAATTTGTATTGATATAAAATTATTATGAGATTTTTAAAGGATTTCAAATGTAAAATTAAGTTCTATCATTTATTAAATAATACTGTTAAATATTAAGTTCTTTTTCTTCAGCTTCCATAAGAAGACTTTCTAATCTACGTTTTTTTGGCATAGATGCTAATTTATCTATTTCCATTTGATGAAGAATTGAATGTACATTTGCATTTTTTGGCATTTTTACCTATAAGTGGTTTAAATTCTTAATATATGTATTGAAGAGATATATCTTCAGGTATTACATTTAAATCATATATCTTTCGTTGATATAAATATGACAATTATTTGATTGCGATTGGTAAAGAAAATCTCAAAACTTATAAAATGAAAATAATCATACATACAATCAATAAATTGATATAATATTCATAATGAATTTTTTTTGTTGCCGGATCACAAGCAATTGCCATCATATCAGCCACTTCATCTTTAGTAAAAGGCTCTCCCATTTCCATTAGAGCTTTTTCTAGATCATCTTTCATAATATAACCACGATTATCGGGATCCAGTAATTGAAATGCTTTTAATAGATCTTCAGGTTCTGCAGGTTTAAATCTAAGTAAAATAAAGAAAAAAGTGTCTGTAAAAAAAATTATTAATTTTATAATTCCTTTATAATTAAATAACTACTAACTTGCGTTCACTAATTGCTTTGTGCATATATTCTACATATTTGTTCAATGGTACACAATTATTTACTACATCTTCCACTTGAACTTGTATTTCTTGTAATTCTGCTTCTGTAACAACACATCCTATGAAAAAATAGGATGATTAATGTAATCGATAATATTTGTTATTTTTATATACATATAAATTTTATATTAGTTATTTACCTAATGCTCTTATAATAGTACCCAAATCTCTAACATCCACCTCATTATTTCTTGCATTATCAAATACATCAAAAGCTTCACACAGCCTTTTTTCCAGCAATGTTGGCTCATCAACCACTATATAAAATGTGATGAAAATCATTTTTATGTTCACAAAAAATATAAATTTCAAATATTTTTTATAAATTAATTTATTAGTATTTAACTGAAATGTAGAAGTAAAAAAAATACTTACTATTTCGTTTAAAGTCTACAAACTATATAACTATCTACTCTTTTATGTGCAAACATATAATATAGCATTGTTTGATCAATACTCGTATTTGGTTCATAAAATATTTACATTATATATCATATACGCACACTATTTATTAATATAAAAATAAAGTAATTATATATATATATATATATAATCTTATACTCATCTAAATATAAATATTTATATAAATCTACGTACATTTTAAACTTTCTCTTTTTTCATTAATGTTTTTTTGCAAAGATAATCGATCTACTGATTCAATCTGATTTTCTGAATTAAACATATTGCCGGTTGAGATCAGTTATGTAGAATGGATTTATATGAAATGTAAAAGAGTGTTACAATATAAAAATATAAATTCATTATATTTTATGACAAAACATGCTTATCTATTAGAAAAAAAAATTTATCATGTAAAACAATTGCTACATTCATAAACATTTAGTTTTACTAATATACATTATAATATATACATGAGAGCAATATGATTATTAACAAATGTATTAAATTTATTCAGTATCTGAAATTCATTTTCCATTTTCATTTAGTTCGCATTTATTTAAAAACTGGTAAAAATATGAAAAATAGTTCTGAATAGTATTAAATTTATATATATATATATATATATATATATATATATATATATATATTCATATATATATATGAAACAGTTGTTTTAAAAATGTGCTGTTTGTCGATCAATTTCTGTAATATCTTCTATTATTTCTTGAACTCGCGTTCCAATTTTTTTGGCTACATCCATTTTTTCATTATTAGGTAAATAGAGATAACTCCAAACCAAATCTCCATCTATAATGCCTCTAGCTGGATTGCCTTGTGTTCTTACATAACTTTTATACGTTCTGAAATTGTTGAAAAATTATAATTATTTATGATACATATATAATCAATATATAACTAGAGTAAATTCATTATAATCATTATTTAATGGCTTACCGGTATGCTTTGGGATTAAGCCCTGCAATGTGACATATATGTGTAACTAATACATTTTGTAGCATAAGTAATCTACGATATGTTTTTTCTGGAACTGGAAGAATGTAACCAAGACTACCATCCAAAGATGCTAAAAGTTAATGTGTATTATTTTTTTATTCGTATTTAAAAAAAAAAATTTTTGAAAAATCAACAAACTCACCATACATGGTAACATGCCTTTTATCTGCTCCAGAAAAATATTTTTTTTCATTTGCTGGATCAGTAATTCTACATTTAATTCGAAAGAATGTATTTACTTTTTGTCCTAAATGAAAGTCAGCTTTTCTAATCAATTTTTGACCACCAAGACTTTCTCTTGACTCCGGTTGATACATAAATAAAGCTATATTGCTTTCTCCATCAGCTACTAGAAAGCCCAAATTATTATTGTCAATTAAATATTCTATCGTATAGACTTCTGCTGGGCGGAAATCCTAAAATAAAATATAATTTAATATTTTCTCATATAGAGTAATTTATCCATATCAATTCTCTAATACTATTATACGAACTTACCCTACTAACAAGGGAAAGTGTTCTATATTCTTCTTGGAATCTTAACAAACTAATTGATTTGTACACATCAGCCACTAAAATTAAACTTTTAATGCTTAACATTTGATGTATATAAATTTGTGTGTCTATAAAAGCAACGCCTACTAGATCGTTATCTTTTAATTGCCAAATGTAGATCTGAAAAATTTATATCATTTCGTTTTAAAATATTATATATATTGAATAAATTAAATTTTTATGTAATTAGTTTTATAACAATGAAACCTTTTGTCCAACTGCTGAAACGAGAAATCCTGATACTTGAGTAATAGCTGTAATAGGACCTTTCTGTTCCTTTGCATAAATCTGTTTAAATCTATTCTTTGTTAATGGTTGTCCAGGTTCTGGTACTACTTCAATAATGTCAAATATAAGAATCTACATAATATAATATAATATTATATTTAAATATCATATAATATAAAGTATTATATTTAAAATATCAATAAAACTTATTATTATATTTAAATTATCACTTACACGTCCTCTACTTGTAATATCTTCTCCGTAATTGTAGTTTGTTCCTAGTACAATGTAACCCTTTAATCCAGATCTTGTTCCCTCGTATGCCAGAGACACATTTTTTAAACATGTCACATGTTCCCATTGATCTAATTCGATTCTAGTGTTTGGTATAGTTTCCCAAGAAACTGGAGAAAATAAAACAATACTAAACAATTCTTGTGATGGAAAAATAAATCTATCTGGTCTTTCTTCTTCTGTGAATTCCTATAAATAAATGAATATAATATAAGTAGATAATAGCTATATCTGATAATATTCTATACATATATATGTGAAGGACTTGTTTATTATTTTATATTACCTTATCTTCGCCATTAAATCTGTAATAACTTTTAAGTGGTTCAGCTGTACTTGTTATAACACAATAAGTTTTACTCTCAAGATGATATGTCACAAAGTGTGGTGTACATCGCAAAGGTACTTTTCTCACAGGCCATGGTGCATCATATGATAAATGTGTTGGTAGAACGCATATCCTTAATTCTTCCTAATATAACATGTATATCTATATATTTTTCAATTTTTATATTAAAAAAAAAAAAAAAAAAAAAACGTATAAAAATATATATATAAAAAAATAAAAAAGTAAAAAAAAGAATATAAAAAAAGAAATAAAAAAGAAAAAATGAATATTACATTACATTAAAATAGTTTACCTTTCTGTTAAAATACAAAAAACCTTGAGGACAATTAATGTTATTAAATGGTGCAAAAGAAGTAACAGAACCATCTATGCCCATTGGATGTGTTCTTAGCTCTCCACGTCCAGTAAGAAATATCCAATGTGCATAATCACCACAAATGAATACACCATTATATCCAGCAATGTTGCTAAAATATCGCATCATAGAAATTCGTGTTTCGTTCATATTGGGCATATCTTCTTCTTTAGGTTTTGGCCTTTTAGATTTATAAATAAAATTATTCATATAGTATATAATAAAATTATTTAAAGTAAATGTTATAAATAGTTATGTACCTTAAATGGCCTGGTATAATACCATGATCTAATTTTTTGAAACGTAATTTTAAGTGACCTTTGGGATATTTATAAGCTTGATAAATTTGCAATTCAGAATCTAAGCGTACTAAAAGCATTGGCCTGTTTCCATGGTGGCCTAAAGCAACCATCAAAATTTCACGAACCTGTAAAATAATTATATTAATAATGTATAAACTTATTATATTGAATGTAATTGAAAATAATGTATATAATAAAAGTATGCACCTGATTTTCAGGATTAGGAATTTCATTAACAGGATTAGTTTGCAATGTTGTAGATTCCATACTATCATGTAAAACATATTGCCCATAACCAAAATTACGAATAAGATAGGACAAACGTAAATCTGGCAAAGAATAAATTTCTAAGGTTCCACTATCTCTATATACTAGTAACCAATATGTAGGTTTAATTTCTTGTAAATGTTTTTGCCACCTATACATAATTGTATCATTATGATAATAACATAATTGATGATAAAAAAAAAAAATGGTATATAACATTACTTAATAATAATAAAGATGTTTACCATGGTGCTTTTTTAGTTGTTCCATCAATGTTTTTAGTATGAGGTGGTACAGGCATTTGAAAAGCTGGTGCATCACCATATAATAAGTCATCCTCATTATCAATATTACTGACAATAGGTGGTTCCTCTACATTGTGTTCTTCTTCTGGTATATCATCTTCCGAATTTTCAGGTAGTTGTGTTGTGAAAATTCCACTTACATCTCTATATGCACAGAGTGCTTCTATTTGAGGACGCTAAAAATTTAATAAAAATAATTAGTTTATAATTTTTATATATATGTATGTATTTATTTATAAATATATACTTACAAATAGTAAATTTGCAGCTTGTGCGTGTAATCTTGCTGTACCTCTTCCTTCTCTAAGTGTAAGTAGCATAACTTGACCATCCTCTGAAAGTATAGTTACATATGGATCTGCACAACTAGCATGTACTATGGGACAACCAAGATCTATGGGCATATGTTGTATCTGTAATTGTCAAGAGAGAATCGTTTAAAAAAACGAAAAATAATACACAAAAATATGGAAAATATTGTATAAAAAGATTGTGCATACTTGTTCAATTCCTTGTAAAAGACGAATACCCATTTGGGTAACTTGTACTATGTATCTGTTGGCACCAAGATTTCCTGCATAAACTGTACTTCCCTGAGTACTGAATCCACTCTGATCAACTTCGTTGATTTCTTGACCAGTTTGTAGAATCTATAAATTTATTATATAAGATTTGTAAAAGATATAATTTTTTAATATGAAACAATGTATTTTGAGCTATGTACCATGGTTGAATCTTCTTGACTTAATATTAGAAAAGCATGAGAACCCTCTGACTCTGCTTTTGTCTGATCATCATTATTTAGATTACCAATAACAGTCCACATATCTTCACATCCAGGTAATTCGAATGTTGTGACTACCTGAGGACGAATTGATCTTTGAAGAACACAAAGAGCACCATTTTTGCCATAACCAGATGTTGTAACTAATTCAACATCAGGATCTTGATTATGAGAAAATTCTTCAGATAAAAATGCTGGTTCTCCCATAGATATATTTCCACATGGTCCTATATTTAATAAGCTATCGCATACCTTATAAATGTAGAAGAAAAAAAAATGATTAAAATAATGATTAAAATAAAGATAAATCAATTATTATTTCATTAAGTTAATATATACCTCAAATATATAAGAGGTTATTTGAATAGATGTATGTGTTTCACTTCCATATACTTCTAATTCTTCTGGATCCTTGATATCTAACACATCAGATGCCATCCAATCGCCTAAGAAATCTTGTTTAATTTTCTTTGCTGGAGTTTCATCACTTTCATTATCTTCGACCATGATTTCATTATCATTCAGATTTTGTTCATTTTCTGGTTCTTTTTCAGTGAATCTTAGTAATAATGAGTTTCCAAGGCGTGAGCCAAGAAAAAGATAGTTATCTTCACACATACATACCTAACAGTTACAATTAAATTAGGTGTATGTTTTATATAAATGTGAGATATCTCATTAGAAATATTACTTACGCATGATGTTAGAACACTAGCAGCTGCTTTATCAAAATGAAAACCACGTACTGAACGCATACTGTCTGCAAATAACGACAGTACATATAGTTCACCACTTTTTAGAGAAATAACTAAACGATCTGGAGATATAAATGCAACTTGAGCACCTTCCAAACTCATTTTAACTCCTTCTTGTGGTTCTAAATAGACAAAAAAATTTATATATTCAATAAGAATTATTGAAGTACTTATTATTATTATGTTAAATAAATATGTTTTTAAATTTATTGAGTTGTTTAAAAAAAAATTTTACTCACTTAAAGGAAAATTTGTACTTGTATCTGCTAAACTATTAAGAGATACTCCATATGGTGGAATACTTTGGTTTAAATAAATTAGAGAATTCACTGCCATTATTAATGTTCCACCAAGAGGTTTTTTTACTGGTACTGCTTGATAACAATCAAATGGTAAATTAGAGACAGACCATATAATAGGATGAACTCTTTGTTGAATATTTAATGATATGGCTACCATTGCGCAAGTATCTTGTCTTACTGCAATACGCCTGTAAATAAATATTTCATGATATTATTTAAGATTACTATATGTTACACTCATGCAATAGCGAAAACATAATTAAAATTACAATACTATATTCTTACCCTGAGAAAGTTCTTACAGGTTCATAAAGAATCAATAAAGTTGGTTCATAATATCCATGTAAAAATTGCAAATCTATAATATTGTCCATTTTCTCTTCTAGACTTTTTAATACTATCATGTATGATGATAATATAGGTGTTTTATTAGATGTAGTTAATTTTGCTGTATCTAGCAGATCTCCATCATCAAGACTTGGATCCTTACGGAATGGTAATACTACTAATTTACGTCCATATATTAACATAATTGCACAACGTCCCTCAGGATCTACTCTGACAATTGGTATGTGGTGATGATTTGTCCATCCATCCTAATAAATAATTTTTCACTTAAATTCTAATGATAAATCATCTATAATTAGATATAATAAATACATGAAAATGTAATAATTAATATGGAAAAAATTAAGAACTTTTTCTATTAAAAAAATTATATTATTATGTATTGTTTTTTATATTTATATATATATATATTACTGATAATTAGGGTGACCAGACATCCTGTTTTTATAGTACAAGTTCCATATTTCAGCATTTTGTCCTGGTGTATTAATTCTAAAAAATATTTCAATTATTAATTGTTGGAAATTTCGTTATTAAAAAAAAAAAGAAAATATTTACATATGTTCTACATTATTTTGACTAACTTTTCAAACTATTATATTTCTTGATTTATATGTGGTCACCCTACTAATAGTAAAATGACAATACAATGATAGCAAAATAAATTTGTTTTATTAATTTCAACCTAATTTTTTCGTTCTTTATTTTAGAATAATCAAATATCAAATTATTGTATTACCCGTATTTCTTCTTCTTCAAAATAATGTAAAGATACTGTTCTAAGATCATGAGCTTCTTGATCATATTCAACAACAGATAACTTTGCATCACGAAAACTTAACAAGAGAGAATCTCGTTGAGATCCAATTAAATGTACTGCTTGCATCGACATTACATTCCCGTGCAAAGTATATTGAGCTAAACATTCTAGCTTCATTTTTGGTGGACGTAATTCTGTTAAAACAAGATGCATAATAACAAAAAATATTTATTGAGAATTTTGTAACTTTATGTAATAGTAAAAAAAAAAATTGTATATACCTGTGTATTTCTCTCTTTTTGTTATATCTACGTCAGGAATTAAACGAAATACTCTTATAATATTTGCACCAGCTACTACAAGACATTTTTCAGACCGATTAAAAAAATAACATGTGATAGCATGTTCTACTCCTGTTGCAGGATGAGTGCTTTTACATATTGAATACATTTTATTAAATATTTTCAATTAAATATTATAATTATAAAGATCAATAAATATATAAGCATACAATTATCAAATTAGTTTAAATTCATATAAAAGACCGCATAAAAAACAATTCAAAGCATCACTCATAGACATATTAATACATTTTAACGTCTACCGGTATATTCAGATAAATTCATGTTGGTCACAATCGCTACTAGTTACACACTCTGGTGGTCAAATTTATAATTCTATGTAGAATAATTTTCAATTGTTTCTTTATATCGCTTTAATATTTTTATATTACTATAACATTTTTATGTCACTTTAAATAAGATTATCTTTATTTTCAATATATTCTTTAATTCTGATTATTTTTTGACAACATAATACATTAATAATTTCAGTACATATAATACTTTTCCGAATGAACATCCATAACCTCTTGTAATCTGTAAATAATTCAATATAAAAAGTTTCTTTTTTATAATCATTATACATTTGATTAAATTATAAGGAGTATAATATAAATGATTAATAATGTTTAAGGTTATTCATGATTCATCCTGATTTATATAATGAATTATGCCAACAATGGAGTAAAGACATAAGTTTTAAACAACATTAATGAAAAATGTCTCATTTAAAAAAAAAAAAAGAAAAAAAAGATTTAAGCAAGAACATAGATTTCTTGAATTTTTGAAAAAGCTTTAGGAAGGTAGAACTATCAGCATTAATTATTACTACTATTACTACTATAATAATAATAATAATAATAATAATAAATAATATTAAAATATAATGATAAAAATAATGATAAAAAAAAAATAGAAGAAATACAGAAATATTATATAAATCACGTAAATATATCCAACATTATATATGATAATAATGATTTATGATAACAAAAGAAGGAAGAATATATTTAAAAGGACAAGGTACAATATAACAAATTTAGTAGTTCTGTATTTCCTTTTGAGTACATTATTTCATGCGATATTTCGCGAGTTTGTTTTTCCCGCGAATTTTTTAAAAATTGGATCTTCGATAATTTAGTCACGTGACTATCCACCGATAGATATAGTTAATAATAGCAAAAATATAATACAGTGTAATGAAGGATATTAAATTCCTTAAAAATATTTATATAAATTACATTTACATAAATAATAAGTAATAATTAATTGTTTTTATATCATTTTTGTTTTCTTCTAGATTCATTTGGATTTCTCTTCATCCAATATTTAACAGCACCATTTGATCGAATACCTAACATAGCTGATTTTGAATATACATCTCGCGTAACAAATGGAGAAAATCCTGCTATATAATCTTCATATAGTGGATCATTTTTTGTTCTTGCCAGTTTTGAAACACGTTGTTGAGGCAATGGTTGATCCTCGCAAAGTATTGGATTATTTGCATGTTTTCCACCTTTTGGTGTTGGCAATGAAAACTAGAAAAGGAAAATATTATATTTATTCATTATACATAAACGAATTCACTTATTATTATTTTGAGACATACTTTCTTCCCCTTGGCCGAAAGTGGTCTTCGCGCATTAATATGAATTTGTTGTTTGCCATTGTCATCTAATGAAATTGCAACCTTTTTTAATGTCTTATTGCCACAATTTGGACAGAAAACTTTAGTCATTATGCTGGTAGTTTTGAAACAAGCATAACACCTAAAAATGAAAGTTCGCATTTGTTTGATTACTCTTCCATCTAACGAAGCTATATTCAATCCAATTTGCATCAAAACATTTTGCATTGCAAAATCCATTGTTAAGCATGCAACAGTTGCTGATTTTTCCTTAAGTATGTCAGAGTCCATATGTTTTTTCATATTTTTAATATTACCTAAAATCATTAATATATTTATGTAGTATAATATTTATAATTATATACTTTTTTTTTTTATAACATTTACTTGAGAAATTAAGAAACTTACTTGGTGTTATCCAATCACTATCATTATTACATTCATCTTCAAATTCATCCTCGCATTCACTTATCTGTTCTAATAAATCTTTATCTTCCTCATCTGATATAGGTGCAAGAATATCATCTACATTATGCATTTTTCCATCTTCACTTTGAATTTCTAATTGATCTGGTTCACAATTGAGATTCGAAAATTTATCTGCCAAATCTTCTGTTTCAATATCTGTGTCATAGTCTATATCTGATGTTGCTGTTTCATAATCAGATCCACATTCATTAGAAGATTCTGTGGCATCTGATTTAATTTCATCTTTTTCGTCATCTTCATTTTCTTCTTCTTCTGCTTCTTTTTCATATTTTTGATGTTCTTCATTTATATCGTTTTTCTCATTTTCAGGATTTTCTTTATCCTTTTGCTTATCCACATCGTTTACAATATCGTCATCAATAGGATCTAAATATTCTTGAAGAGAATCAACATATACTTCTTCTTCTTCATTTTGCGTTATATTTTCTTTATCTTTAATTCCATTTGTTCTATTTAACTATAATATATACACAAAATATATATAAAAATTATTATAAAATATATATAATATAATACATGGTATGTATGTGTATAAACTTACTTTTTTCTTTGGCATATAAAATCCAACGACAGGTTTTAAACGATTTTTATTACGTTTTGCACTGTTAACAGTTTTTACAATGATTGGAGCTTCCTTCAAATGTTCCGTACCTACTTTTTCTTTTTCTAATTGATAAGTAAGTGCAATTACTTTAATATCAGTGGCAGATAAACTTGTATAATCACCTGTTTTCTTAGCAAATTCAGTAACTAAAAGATAATAAACTTTTAATAACTTATGAATAATACTTCAATTTAAAAATTTTAATATAGTCCTTAATAAATTTTATACCAAATTTAATGTTTTCTGGAAATGCACTTTGAACATTTAAATCATATGGAAGTACAACTAGCCTTCGTAGTTGTCGTTTATTGGTTATCTCGTTAACCACATCTTGGTCGGTTATGATATTAACACCAATATCCTAAGATAACAATAAATAATTATACATTTTTATATACTTCATAGATGAATATATACATATACAAAAGTAGATAAAAGAGTTTATAAAATCTGCTAAATAATTCTTTTTGAATGAAAAGTATTGGTTGTATTACTTGTAGAGCTGCATTTTTAATAAAAGCACTTGTATCCACAATTAAGTATTGTATTTTATTGCTAGTTTCCATAATTAAATAGTATTAATATTAGTTAAATTATTAAATCCACGTGTTTCTCATTAAAAAAAAACTACGAATTATACAAATAGCAAGTGTACATAGATAGTAATAATAACGTGTATTAAAATTTCACTGATAGGTAGCGTTCCCTGTTGACAACAAATATAACTATAATAGTATGCGATATTCGATATAATATTGTATTTTATTTGAACTTAACAACTACGTAGAAAATAATTAAATAATTATGAATTATTAGATAAAATTATTTATATTATTATTTATATATAATACAATTTTTTATATAAAAATTGCAAAAAATCTGCCCCGGGTGAGGATCGAACTCACGACCTTAAGATTATGAGACTTACGCGCTGCCTACTGCGCTACCGAGGCTTCTGATAGGTACTTTGACTTTTAAATATTTCTGAATTAATCTATTATATGCTATATAAACATCAATGCATTTATGATAAACAGAACGGCGTGCTTCATTCAAACATTTGAAGTAAAGATATAGAATAAAGTTACAATGTTATGTCCTGAGGTATTGGATTTCAAACCACCACGATATCATATTAATGTTGAAAGAATAAATTATAAGAGAACAGATGATCCTGCCACAATTGTCAAACATTATTTTAATCATGTAGTAAGTAATAGACATTGAAATTGTACATTGTTATAGGTTATATACAATGACACAATTTTTAGGTTATATATAGAAAAAGATATATGCATAAAAAAGAAATAATTTATTTAATTTACAATTTTTTTTGCCTTTTTTTTTTTTTATAGGTATCCTTTATATTTCCAGAGTCGAATAATATTCCAGACAGTGTGAAAAATTGTATTTCAGATGATAGCGATTATTATAAAATTAAAGACCTTCATACCTCTGAATTGTTAAATCAAGAATTTATTGAAGCATTTATTAAAAAGGGTAAAGGAATTTCCTTCTGTCGTATTGATATACTTTATAGTACATTATACGTATCATTTTCTCTTAGTATCAGTATGTATTAATTTTTTTTTTACAGGAGAATTAACACTATTAACAATTGGAAATAAAATAGATTTATGTAATACCATAGCTGTTACTCCAAATGGTATTTTGATAATTTCATTGATACGCGAAGATTTTCAAAAACTTGGATTAGAAGGGAATGATTCTGCTTTTGATTATAAGACAAATACGCGAAATGGTATATTACAAGTTAATAATAGTTTGAAAGATACATTATTACTATAATTTAACTTTTACTGATATTCATTTACTTTTTCCTTTTTTTTTTGCATTTATCACAATTTTTATAGTTGTGAAAATTGATTTAACGGCTAACCATTTTGTACCTGGTAAGAAGAATTATGAACGAGTTAAAATAGCATTAGAGAAACATCTTGATCTGATTTTCGATGTAATATTAATATGGGAACCACCAGGTAAATTTAATCCATTTTTTAATGATAATGATATTTTGACATTTAGTACATATTCGTCTATAAATTCATTGACATTTAGTACATATTCGTCTATAAATTCATTGATATTTAGTACATATTCATCTACAAATTATTTAATTTTAAGATGAAAAGACGTGTCCATCTTCGGTTGCTGCATGGTTTCACGAACATGGATATACTGTTTCACTTTGTCGTCAAAAGGTTTCACAAAGAACCGAATATCGTGTTAATATACCTACTGTCATTGATGGGTTTATTGTTAATGACTTTTTTGAATGGCTTGGAGTTTTTAGTATTTCTGGAGAAATGTACGTATCGTTTTTTAAAATAATATTTATATAATATCAAATAATAATAACAAATCATTTTGTTTATATTTTCTTTTGTTTTTTTTTAGAAATAATGAAAAAACATCAAAATATGTAAGTACATATGAATGTCCAAAACCAAATATATTGGTAGATCAAGTAAACTATCTACAATATACAGGATTTTTTTCTAATCGAAGAATTATACAAATTTATAATACTATGAGAGAATATGTATCATTACAAAATAGTTTACCATGGTGCAGTTTTCATGTGCAAGGATTTTCAGATAGTCCTGTTAGTTGGGATTTGAAAGAACATACATTTTTTACAGATGGTGACAATAGTTATACTGTTTTATTTTGTCCTAATGCCAAATGTATTATAAGAAAAAGTTTATGTTCTAACAATAAATCAAGAATAACTTTATAAATTTTAATTTTATAAGCAGCTCTAAATAATTCACCAGTCTTTTATACAGTTTTATAAATAGAGCCAATTAAATTTAACAAAAAAATAATAAAAGAAGAAAAACCAACATAAATATTAATTCATAATTCACAAATGATTATACTTTACTAACTATATTATTGCACTAATCATACAGTGCTATAAATAATTTTACGTTCAAGGCCATATTCAGTTTATTTGCTATATTTAGAAAAAAAAAAAAAAAGGAAAAAAAAAAGAAATTAAACCATAATTTTTAAGCATATAAAAAATATTTGATATCGTTGATATATCATTATTTTAAATATTCTTATGTTTCTGATAAAATCAATTTAATTTTACATATAAAACTCTTTGGTATTAGCTTCCAATATTTATGTATTTCTTAGATTGGATATTTTAAAAGATATTTATATAAAGAAGTTTTAAAGAAATGTTACATTCTTTTCTTGGAACTTTTTACGTCTACTTCGTGATATAGCAATTGTTATGTAGAATAATTGCAATGTAATAATATAATAACTAAAATAAATGACTAGTAATTGAAGAGTAATGAAATATGTCCATAAATTAACAGAGAAGAAAGGCACTAGATATATACATATATATATAACTACGAGATCAAACAAATCTGTCATATAACTTCTGTCATATAGTTCTTTCAATAGAGACACATCTTTGTAGAATACTTACTCTAACATTTTGCATATAAGAAAAAAAACATAAGCTTTGATACATATAGGAATCATGAGAAAATACATATTAATAATATGTAATGTAACTTTGCTCTCATATTAATACATGAGGATTATCCAGATCAGTAAATTTAACTCTGTTGCTGTAATATGAATCTTCTAAACTTGTGCCAATAGACATTCGTGATTTCGAACGTGCCATAAGTTCACCTATTTCGTCGAGATCTCTATACCTGAAAAAATGTATGATGTTATTTTAAAAATATTACGATATAATATCGATATTCTATTTAATAAATAAAAATAAAAAAGATAAAAAAATAAAAAATAAGATCACCTGCTAACTGGTCGACTAAGATTTTCAGATGATCCTGATGAATTTTTCATCAAAGAAAATCCATCGTCTGTATTGTATAATGCCGAGTTATCTATGGAAAAATGAATTATATATTATTTTATTACACGTTTATAATATTAATCGGCAATGACAAAATAATGTAACGAATTGCTTGCATAAGTCTAATGATAATTAATTACCAGAAGGGAATAACATGGTATGTTTTAAAAGTTCTCCACTTAGAAATGGAGAGAGACTATCATCTTCATCTGGTAGTAAATGTGTAGCTGCATCTGCCCCTATAGATTCTACCATTTCCAACCATTGTTGATTATGTGAACGGAATTTTTCTACTTTTATACGTGCTGCCCAATTCTTATCACACATCTAAAATATTTTTATAGTTTAATAATAATCGATTTTTTTTTAATTTTTCAACTTTTTAGAACAACTTACAGCAATAACGTCCAAACAAGCATCACAAACTTTTCTAATTGCTGGATTCTTATCATGCATCAAATCTATTAAATACCCAGGTGCTTCTGTAAATTAATTATATTATTTTATAATGACCTAATTGAAAATTAATTTTTATAACTATTTTATTAAATAATAATTTTTTAATGATTTTTTATTTTATTTTATTTTTTTATTAGACTTATAATGAGTAAAGCAAAATAGACTGCTTATTACCATTACCAGTCTCGCGGATTAAATAATCTCTTGTTGAATCATGTTTAGAAATTTGATAAAATACATAGATTATTTGCAAAACCATTTCATCATCCTCTTGCTTTGCTGTAATTATTATCCATATTATTATTACATATCATTTTAATAAAATACAATTTACTACAAACCTTTAAGTAATTCGATAAGAGATAGAAGTATATCTGCTTTGCACAATAAGCGAGCGCAATCTTCATCGTTAGCTGCGGTGCCCAAAAATATAACAACCTCAAGTACCAAATCATCTTGTGCTTTTCCTGTAAAATATATATATGATTTTTGTATTTAAAATACATATATAAATTTTATTACGATTCGTACCTGGAACTAAATTATTGCGTATCCAAGGTATTAAATTACATCGTTGAAGAATTTGGGAATAATCTAAATCAGATAATTCTAGATTTCCTAAAATACCAACAACTTCTATTACAAAATCCTCAGAATCTGATTGATTTACTGCCATAGCAAAATCACCTACAAATTCCTGTACATATTTATAAATTAATTTTTAAAATATCTGTACTTGTAAAGTAATAATATATCAGATATATATTAATAATAATAATAATAATGACTTACGACAAAATTCTCTTTCACTGAATCATGTTGAGAAATATTTCTAATCATTTTCATGATCAATGCATCTTGATTTCTGAATGCTTTCTGTATAAGGTTTTGCAAGTGATTATTTTCTATCATAAGCTGTGCATTCCTAGCATTTGTTGCTAAGTTTACTCCAAGTGCTATTAATTCTTGTTTCAAATGTTCATCTTCAAGATTTAAAATCATATCCATCACCTACAATGTTAATATTTTTTTCTTGTTTATTTGTAGGTTTTTTTTTTTCTGTATGTAGTAATTCTTTTTCTAAAAATATTTACCATTGGAATACAATCAGTATTTGTGAACATAGATTTAACTTTATCATCCATACTTGCATGATACAATAATCCTAAAATTGTAGCTTTGCTTTTGACATCACCTATAATAACAATTTATATGATAAATTAAAGGAAATAATATATTACAATTTCTCAAAATAATTATAGATAATTGTACACCTACCATGACTGAGTAATTTTATCAATTTTGGTAACATACCAACTCGTATCATTCTTGCTCTTAACTTTGCGTCAAAAGATAAATTGAAGAGTAATTTTAATGTACTTGATATAAGATCAATATTGTTATTTTGAAGAAGTCGTGGTAGTTTCTCAATCACATTATCCTCTGCCTGTTATTATTGAAAACATATATGAGTTATTTTGTTAAAAAAAAAAAAAAAAAAAAAAAAAAAGAGAAAATATCCCAGATAGTAATTTTACCATTATATCCTTGTTTTCGCGAAAAATAGATAATTTTTTTAAAAACGTAACAACCAGAATTAATAAATCAGTGTTAGTTCTGTCCAATGTTTTGATCAACATACCAATGATATTTTTTTTACGCATTTTTCTTTCAACATCCATGTTTTCAGCAATATTCAATAATAAGTAGAAAGCGACTGTAATTATGTATATTATATATAAATTAATATAAATTTTAATTAAAAGATTTTATTTATATATTGGATTGGCCAATAACTAATGTCAGATTTTTCCGTAAGAAATCTCCTGTCTCCGCTGTTTTTAAAACAAAAGCTTATTTTTTCTATATTTAAAAAAAAAAAAAATTTCTGTTTCTTACAGAAAATTACGAAATTACTTATTGATCAAATCAATATTACACTACAACTAACCTCTTAGCAATTGTTCCTGTTTTTTAGTTAAACTTTTAAATTTTTTGCGACTTTTTTCAAGTTCATCCTTCATCTTCTTCAAATCACTTTCACTGACACTAGAATTAACTTCTACAGATCTTCTTTTTACTTCATAATCCAGAGGACCATCAGTACTCCAAATATCATCAATAATTTTAATTCTTCTATCGCATGTATCATTTGTAGTTGGAAAAAGAACTAAACCGGTGGTATTTTCAAAATGACGTCTACATTTTTCCATGTCCTCCTTCCATTGATCATAACGGCTTAACTCAAAATTTATAATATCCATACAAAGAGAACCAATCTGTCAAAAAATATAAAATATGATGAATGTTGTAAAATACATTGTATTATTTTCAAAACAATTATACTTCTTTAATTCATATTTTGTATGCTTACCCTATATTCAAGAACAATATTATGAAACTGGCTATACATTGAGAAGCAAAAAAAGATATATATGATGTTTGTTGAAAGTTCTATACTACGTCGCCAATCTTCTCGAAGAACTCTAGCTAAAGCACTTAATAATGAATCTAAAAAAAAAGATATTAATATTAACAATGATAACTTTATTTATTCACATTATATTCGTAAAAATTACCATTCTTAGTTAATTCCAAAAGATTGTCAGGTACACGGGCTAATTGTAGAATCAATGATGAGCCTTTTATTTTATCTGACATCTCTTCATATAATAATTCGATATAACTATTAACATTACTGATGATAGCACGTTCTGATTCACTACTTTCAATATTCATAGAATTAGAAGATGTTGGTCTTTGTAGTTGACTAGCACTATCATTTCCTATAAAAATTATATACAAACAATTAATTAAAGATATAAAAAGATTATAATAAAAAAAATCTTACCACTCTCATTTGTTCTACGTGTTTGAAGATAATAAATGAGCTGTTCAACTTCGTGTAATTTGGATTCGTGTATCAAAGAACATTTATCCATAACTTCTTTTGCCAATAAAGCTACATTAGTATCAGCATTTAAACTTTTTAATCTAATTATTTTTTGACATTCCTATAATGAAAATTTTCAATTATAAATTGAGTTAATCTTAAAAGAAAAATTATTTCATATTATAAAATAGAATTAGATATATATGTCTTGCCTTGCGATCTCCAAGCATAGGATCACCAAGTTCTCCTAAAATGAGTGCTTCAACGTCATAATTAATTACTAATGCTTTTTCTGTTGGGTGTACATCCAATGTTCCAGATCTCACTTTTCTATAAATTAATAATATAAATATATGATTGATCCAAATTTTTGACAGATACGTACACTGACAACTATCACAAAATTTTATAACACACTAGATATATGTTTGTGTAATCGATATTAAGTATACAAAGACTATTTATATCGTAATACCTTTTCAAAAATTTTGCTTCATCCATATTATATTTTTTCTTTTTTCTCACAAATAACAATATAAATATTTTATTATAATTAATAGACACAAAAATCGCGTATCCTAATAAATTTACTCAAAACGATCTGTCAATCTCGTTGTCATTAATACCAACATTATTGATATTGATACAATGTTTTCAGGAAAAATTTTTTCCTATAAATTTGCAGTATATCATTGTTATGAATATAAGTTGCCAACAAAAGTATATCTTCTTTTTTTTATTAATGTAATATCGACAATATTGAGAAATATTATGTATATTGTATTGTTCAATGAAAAAAAAAAAAAGAAAATAAACGTAGAGAAGAGAATATTTTTTTCAAGCGTTGCTTCCCCTTTATAAAATCAAAGATTGTGTATCAATTGCGTTCTAGTATTTGAGACTGCGCACAAAGAATATCTCAGGTCACAAAACTTGAATAAATACATAGATGTCCGTTTAGTGTTACTAAACTTTTCCCTAAACAGAAAATAGAAAATGTGCTTTAGATGTTTATGATAAGAAAAAAAAAAACAAGAAATATTTACACTTTATTTCAAAAAGTTTATTCATTCTTTCTGTGAAATATTTTATTAAAATCTTAATTGAACTTTAAGAATATATATTATAAATATATTTTATAAAATTCATGAGATATATTATTTCTTTTCTATATATTTCATAAATGTTTCAGAGAATTTTGGTTAGATAGCGTTCGTAGTCCTTTACCAACTGTAAAATGACGTTATCGTGGTCGTCTCTCTATTGTCGAAAATATTTTTTTTAATTTAACAATTGGTGATGCTGTTAGGACAACAATGGCGACCATGGTGGAGGATGAAAATTCGGTTGATATGAATGAGGATAAAAAACTGTCGTAAGTTATGACAGATAAATAATAATGATAGCAATTTTTTAAGATATTCTTGTTAATGATATTTTAAAGAAATCATATATAGAATTTAATATCGCGGATAAGTTTCACGAAAAATAACCTAATACACAACATATTTTCTTAGGCTTCAAGTAGAACTTTTTTTCTAATTTTTATGGATATTTGCATTGCAGATTTAATCAAGTTTCCTACAATTGGGTAGATATTACCCAAGAGTTCTTCGAAGCTATTACAGGTAATCAAATAAGAGGCAGTATATATATATGTGTATATATATGTATATATATATATGTATATACATATATATATATATATATATATATATATATTATATATATTAACTAATTAGAGTAAATTCTTTTTTTTTTCTGAAAGTATAATATATTTAGAGAATTAAAGATTAACATTGCTTCAAGAGAAGCTGTTTTTTTTTATATGATATGTGCTATAGTAGAGATAGTTGAAAGATATATAAGATTTTTTAATTAATTAAGTAAAGTATGATTGAAATTCAATTTAAGATAAACGATGAATACAAAATAAATCATAATAATCTGCATATGAAAATATATAATAGTAATAAATCTTAGTACTTATATAAAGATAATTTATACTTATATAAGATCATACTTTTATTTAGAATTGGAGCTGGGAGAACTTTTACACAATGAGTTCTTTGGTCTTTTTGAAGCTATGTCAGCCATTGAGATGATGGATCCTAAAATGGATGCAGGAATGTTGTGCAATCGAGGGAATAGCAAGCCTTGTACTTTCATACAGGCTATAGAAACGGGTGCTATTAAATTAGATAATTTAATACCTGCAGAAGTTATTGGAATTATAGATTCTACATATTCTTGCATAGTGTCTTGGTTGGAAGGACATAGCTTAGCACAAACAGTTTTTACTAATTTATATTTACATCAGCCTTCAATGATTGTGGATAAACCATTAAAGACGTTCTGCTATGCTGTGTATAAAATTATTGAAGTGATCAAGGACTGCATTAATAAAGCCTTAGTTTTTGAGGAAGAAGATTTTCAAAGTCTTACCTATGGATACAGATTACAACAGGATATTACAGAACAAAAAACAATATCTATGTTGCGAGAAGTAGAAGAGGAGTTACATAGAAAAAGTAGAATAAAACCAGTTGATGTTGAATCGGAAAAGGAGGTGAGAATTTATTTTATATCATGAATAAAATATTTCATTATTATCGATTGAAATATTTCATATTTCTCGAATTAACTAGTGTTGTCTTTCATTGTACAGTACAATGATGGTTTAGCACTTTATGCAAGAATTAGATTTACAAAGATGTTTTATCAAACATTGTCTCTGATGGGACGGAAAGAACAGTTACAACAAAATTTAGTAGATTGTCAAAGATTATTATCAAATTGTTCTGATATGATTCAAGTTATGATCAAGACAGTGAATCGCGGGGAAAAGGCTGACGAAGTTTGTAAGTTTTGATATTAATCATTCATTTGCTTGATTATATTTTCTTTTATTTTATTTCTATTATTTTTCTCATTAGCTGATCATCCGAATATAATGGGTTTTGATGCTATGGTAAATCAGAGATTATTACCTCCTACTTTTCCACGTTATACTAAGATAAAGCCACGGGTTGAGGCTCTAGAATATCTAGATGAATTGTTAAATAGATTTAAAACTGTTACTAAAATCACTAATCATACTGGCTTTCATGCAGCACTGGTAAGTATGCATTGTAATAAAGGATGATGGCTCATAATTTAAATGTCAAGTGAACGAATTTCTTTTTAGGACTTTTTTTTAGAATTTTCACGGCAAAGTCCATGCATATTATCTCGATCGATGTTACAAATTGTTTATTTGCCAACAACAAATCGTGTATTCGGCGTACACAATTTTGCTGATGTTTTAAAAGATGCTGCACGAAATTTTATTGCACCACCAGTACTAATGCCTAAAAGTACATTACTTCAAAATCATCAGGCCAAGGAATATGTTGATAGTTTTTTCTCACGTTGCGTTACTTTGTTTGGAAGTTTATTGCAATTAACTGGACATAACAGGGCAAGACAGAGAGATAAGTTAGCGCATTTATTAGAAGATTTTGCGACCTTACAGGATAAGGTAAGAATACATATCGATTTTTAATGACAATTAAAATTGATCTTCGATGAGACACATTTCATGTATATTTCTAGGCTGAAAGAGTAGATGGGTACTTACACACTTTAAAGAGTGACATACCAAGATCACATTGGGCTTGCTTTGGCACTTGGATTTTGTATCATATGTTACGTGTAATGATTATGTATCTCTTAAGCGGTTTTGAACTCGAATTGTACTCTGTACATGAATATCATTATATTTTTTGGTACCTGCACGAATTTTTATATGCGTGGTTAGTATCTGCCATTACAAGGGCAGATACCTTTTTAACTGAACAAGATGTACATAATGATACACACAAAGGTAGGGGTGGTAAAAAGAGTGCCAAAAATAAAAAGAAGAAATCAACACCAAGACCCCATCATTTGGAAATTCTGATGTATCAGGCAATGCAAAATATTTGTGGCGGGTACTACAAAGTAAGTTTTTACAATCATGAGTATTGATATATATATATATATACATGTATAATGAGCTTTATACATGTATCATACATTTATCATGTAATCATATTTTTAGGCATTAGTTGGATTTCGAATGGATGGAAAAATTCCTCTTCCAGAAACGCAATTTGACTCGGAAAGAGTAAGATATGAACATAGGTTACTGCCATTCTCTTCTCTTCTTACTCCTCCACCTGTTCATTATCAAGAATTCTCAGAAATGACCAATGCTCAAATGTATAAGAAGAATGTTAGTATATACCTATATATATATATTCGATTTTGATATAAGTTATGAAATTTTATATGTGAATCTGATCGTTATTTATTGTTTAGGAAAAAGTCACGAGTGCAACACAATATCTGGCAGGTTGTTGGCACTTTCATAGAGCTAGAAATATGTTAGAACGTGCATTATCACTTTGTCCGGCAAATATTAATACCGTGAACGAGGTAAGAGTTTATATCATTCAAAGCTCTTATCTTATATTTTTTAATTTTTTGATTTTATAATTTTGTAATCCTTTTTCTCATTTTTCATTTTACAGATCAATGATCTATTAAAAGTGGCAAAGACTAATTTTGTGGTTCTAAAATTATTGGCTGACGGACATAAAAAGGATTCGAAAGAGCCGCCAGTATTTGATTTCTCTTGTCATCAACATTTTCCTTTGATTAAGCTTACCTAAATTATATATCTGTAATAGTCGCATTTTACTGTATAAGTAAATATGTTATTTATTTTAGTTTACATTAAATTTTGAAAATACTTTAGCGCGTTATGCTTCGAAATGTTTAAAATTTTATTCGGCATAATCGCAAGAAAGAAGTTTTTTTTTTTTTCAAAAAACAAAAAAAAAAAAAAAAAAGAAAAAAACAAAACAAAAAAAGAAAAAAAAAAGAAAAGAAAAGAAAAAAGAAAGCAAAAAACGAATGTGTTCTATTTGAATTATGTAATGTCCTACAGTCTATATATATATATACAATTATATACATTTTCTGACAAACATTTTTTGTATAAACTTTTATGCTAATAAGAAATGATATTTGTAAATAAGTTATGAAAAATCTCGTATGTGTTTTAGGGGAGAATCAATGTACGTCGCGTGCGAACAAATGTGTCTATATATTAAATAATGTTTGTAAAAGTTACAAGCCAATGTGAAATGTAAATATAATATGTAGAATCCATAGTATAATGTAGATAGTGCGATAATGTTATATACATATATATATATACATATTAAAAATAATAGGATATATCTTAGTTATGGCTTGTAGCAGTGATAGCAGTGAGGAGGAGTTCTGAGAAAAAAAAATCATTTTAAAAAGAAAATAGTTGAAAAAGAAAAAAACGCCGTTTCGTTGTAAACTTCAGAATCAATCTATCTTCTTTTTTTTTTTCTTGCGTATAATATCAATGATATAAATGTATGTTATCAAATTTTTTTGTTACTTGCCACGATAACACGATCTGCTTGGAATACAGAGTATTTTTTAAGTCAACTTTATTTATAATATAAATACATAAACGTATATACATATACAAATATATATGTATATATAAACATATATATATATAAACAAACATTTGGTTTAAACATCAAAAACATTTACACATGATCTTTTTCTTATATATCTGAAGATATCTGTATTATATAGTATTTTTTTTTCTTTTTTTTCTTTTTTTTTTTTTTTTTTTTAATGAGTGGTTTAGACCAATCAAGAATGAGCGTTTTAATGGATGGACAATCTTGTTTCTTCAAATTAGTTCATCGTCATTCGTCTTATCGATGAAAGAAGACGTGCGTATAATTGATGAAGAGCTTATACTCGTCGTATAATAATCGTAATACGAAATATGGTTTTAATAACTGAAGTTGAAGATCGGAAGATCGTGAAACCTTATTTGGGTGGATGGCGAAATAAAATCACTGGTATAGAATATTTGAACGCAGTATCGCAAACCGGACCACCACCTAAAAATATTTCCTGGGATAATTGCTGTAGCATTGCCGTTCAAACGGTGGAAACTAAAGATGGAACAACACAATCGTCGTATAATAAAACCACACAAATGTGGCGGTGCGACAATATACGTAAATTAAAAAAGAAATCTAATATTCTTATCAATACATGCATTTTAATTTTTTTTCTTCTTCTTCGTTAATTAATCTTAATTGTTGTAAGCGTAGAACGGATTGTAACGTATCGAATATAAAGGACAAGTATATGACGCCAAAGTGTTATGAGCCATACGATGAAATACAATGGCGTCTTGATCTTAATCAACGTGCGAGGATTATTCAAAGGAATTATCGGATATATAGACTTTTGAAATATATGAAGGAATGTGCTCGACAATATAGAGAAATAATGAAAGAATGTAAACGGCATCGGGAAGAGAGAATCATTATGTACAGGTACGCGATTTTAAGAAAGAAATAAAACTATTCATGAAAATTGATTAAAAAAGTATGTGCACAAAAAAATATTTTTCACGGTATTGTATAAAAAAAAAAAAAAAAAAAAAAAAAAAAAATTAAAACACCATAACATTTCTTGCGATTGATTAGTTGTGCTTTAAGAAAAAAAAAAAAAAAAAATAAACAAACGTTCTATTTTTGAAAACGTTCGCAGAAAAAGACACGAGCAGGAACTTTTACGAAAGATTAATCCACGTTCAAGAGCAGATTTTAATATGTTGTTTGAATTAATCGAACGATGGAGACGTGATCGTAAAAAGGAGATAAATGCACGTTATTTCGAAGGTACTCAATGTGCTGAAAATTGTTTCGTTCTTAATAAAACCGTGGAAATGTACAACGTTATCGATAAATTTAAACAAAGGATAAGAGAGCAATACAGAACGAGGAAACGTGTTAAATTTTTAAAGATCAATTCTAAGCCTATACAATGGCACGGATATAAGGCAAAACTCATAGAAATGATCACATTGAAGACTCAAAAGGCACGGGAATATTTGAGCATATTCAATTCGTTAAGTAATGATAATTTGAACGTGGAAGAACGAATGGAATTGTTATTGATGTTAAAAAAATCACTCGGATTTCACATCTGTATCTGTGCTTTCGATTTGATTTATCTATTGGACCAAGAGATAATGTTATTGTCGAGAGGCATAAAGAATCAATCTCTCGAATATTTAAGAAAGAGAATACTATGTGAGAATCCGTAAAAAGAATCGAAAAACAAAAACAAATTTATAACATTCTAATAACGATTAATTCTAATTAATATAGGTGATTATTTAAAATTCGTCGCCAATTCTGGTACTTGTGCTTGCACGAATATACGTAAGGGTTTCAAAGATGATCCCGAATGCGAGGAATTTCGTGAACCATTAGAGATAAAAACGATATTTTGTAAAAGCTGTAGAAAATTACTTCCCTGTAATAGATTTTCAGCTCACAGTGGATTGAAAAGATTAACATCTTGCATCAGTAAATGCAATTTAATTTCTTTTTTCTTTTTCTTTCTTTCTTTCTTTCTTTTTTTTCTTTTTTTTTTTTTCTTTATCGCAAATACACATTGTCTATATATATTACAAAATATTAAAAAACGAAATGTGATGATCGATCGTTATTTAAGGTTGTACGTTGTTGAAAGAACAGAATTATTCTTACGTTAATTTCGAACCATACGTTTTTATTTTAAATTACGTACAAGCCGAAGAGAAACGAAGAAGATGTTTCTCGTCGTTGGCATTTATGATGCAGTCGAATGACATTTATTATCTGGTTAATAATATCTGGCAAAATCATTCGATCATAAGTAAAAATATTGATATTTACTTATTAAGATTGGTCAGATACAATAAGTGCGTTGAATGGTCACCATGGAATTGTATTCTTTTAACCGAAGAAGAGGCAGAGATTCATTATTGTATCGATGATTTTACCAAAATCTATTCGAAATCACTATTACATCAGATCTTATTGAAACATTTGGCGGCGAAAAATTATTTCAAGTAAAAATTGATAAAAGAAGATAAAAAAAGAAAAGCAAAAAAAAATAATCATTCCTATTGTTAGATTACATTGTATCCTATTTAATCTTTTATATTATTTATTTAGACGATTGAGCTACTACGATAAAGAATTTAGAGAATCCTCTCGATTTTACACGATACAAGACAGAAAGGATTACGTGCCATTTAACAAAGGGATTTATCTCGAAGGGTACGAGTTTTAACGTTTTAAAAAATTATCTGGATTCATGGATCTTCTTTTTTTTAATATTATTTAAATAATAATATTGTTTAAATAAATTTTAAACATATATATATATTTTATATATATATTTTATATATATATTTTAAATATATTTTATATATATTTTACTTACAAAAGTTTTCGAGAAATTCTTTTCGAGAAATTCTTTTCGAGAAATTAGCATAGATTTCAATTATATATACCAGAGAATTAAGTTACCACGAGTCTTAACTGAGGTAAGAGCAAGGCACTTTCATGCAAACAACGACGATTTAACTTCTATTAGGAAAAGTGTGCGGTTTTTTCCTTTACGATCGATACTTTCAATCAGGAAGAAAATACGCAATTAAAGCTGCCGGCGTATCCGGTACTTAGAATTAATTCATTCCGTACGAACGAATCTTTCCTTTGGAAGGAAACGAAACGAGATTTTTTTTTTTTTTATTCTTCGTATACATTCATACAAGCATTTACGCGTGCATATGCGTTGTGTGTATATGTATATATGTGTGTGAAAAATCTTTGAAAGAATTATATAAAAAATTAAAGGTATATTAATTTGCAATTAATCTCAAAATATTTATTGTTTCCATTGTTAATATTAATACATACATATGCATACAAACGCACAGGTATATATATATATATATATTTTTTTTTTTTATATTTATATATATATATTTATTTATTTTTAAATATCACGTACTTTGACAACGACAAAATTAATCTGATTATTTTCGTATTGTTGCGCAAATATCACATATTACAATATGAAAACTTTCTAATTATGATGCATATAAATTAGAAAGGGAAAACGAATTCATTTGATCGATCGACCAAACGTGTTGCCATTAGCAACGATAAAGATTTAAGGTTTTACACGTTCGAAGCTCGTACTTTACCTCCCATTTATTCGTACCTTCAGTATCCATCGAACTCTTAATACATTTGCATCGTTAAGTAAATGAATTTAACGCGGATCTTCTTCAAAGAAGTGATGCATTAACACTTTGGAAAAATACTCGTTAGTTTATTTCTTTCGACGAAGACGAAGAAAAAGAAGAAGACAAAGAGAAAAGAAGAAAACAAAAGGAAGAAAAAAAGTAATCCCGCCTTGATTAAGAATTCGTTTGTTAACAATTAAGAACAAACCTTTTTAATCTCTAATTAAAAACCTAACAGAGATATTTCCATTTCTATTGAGTAAGTAAATACACGTTCTGTGTTTATTTTAATGAGAATCTTTTAAGAGTGTACTTGAAAAAATACATATGTATATATATATATACATACGTTTTGATCCTCGACCAGTTTGCATGCTCGTAATAATTGCATTTGATATTTATATCACGTTTAATAAACATTTCGCATTAGAGTAGGTTGGTTAAATTCTTTTTGAACCTTTATTTTGATTTGCTCAATTAATAAATGAGATTTTTACGAAATTCGATGTTTTGTTTTCTTTTCGTTTCTTTTTTTGCTTCTCCTCTCATTCTCTCACACACATACATTTACACACATACACACATTCTTTCTCTTTTTGATGTTAAAAATATAAAATATGTCTATTTATTTTATCTCATTATCAGATAAATATTTCGTTAACTCAATTTTTACGTACACACAAGGAATATAACAACCTGATTGAAGTACTCCAAGATTTGTCCAATTAAAAAGATAACTCATTTGTATAAACAAAAACGATCAAGCACTTGGAGAAGAGTAAACATTTTGACGTGACGTTAAGCGTTCGCTTTTTTTACTGACTTAATGATAACAATTTTTGCAAAGAGACGCGTACTGTTAACAAAAAAAAAAAAGAAATTAAAAAAAAAAGGAAAGAAAAATAAATAATAAGAAGAAAAAACAAATCGTCCTTATGAATTTCATAAGAAACTCGACCAAGAATCACATATATATATATATATATATATATATTATTTGATATTATCTGTCAAATTTTATAAAAATGTTTTACTAACTATCTATCTTCTTGTCTAAGCTGCGGAGCTCGTTTTTGAAAAAAAAATTTCTTCACCACGTGCCGTATCTTAGCAACCTCTTCCTCCCTCTCACTCTCTCTCTCTCTCTCTCTCTCTCTCTCTCTCCTTTTCTCTTCTATCTCTTCTATCTCCTCTTCTCAATCCTTTGACTCCATTTTCCTTGCATAGTAATTCATAATATATGAAAAGTGTTACGTCGCACGTGCATCGTGTAGAAAGTATTCTCTTGGGTGGCCTTTGTTATACCGTTTGTGACTAGCTCCTACCTACAGTATCCATATACGAGTGTCAACGGCTCGTTTCACCTTTCTCTACAATCTCCGGAACAACTCCTCGTCCTCATCCTCCACCTCCTTTTATTTCTCATCCTCCTCTTTTCTTCCTCTTCTTCTTTCTCCTCCTTCAACTTACGAAAATTAACATCTTTCATAATTATTGTGTCGCGTCTAGTCGCCACTGTTGTTCACCGCGTTATTCAACGAAACTTTCCCAAGGGAGACATTTTTTTTTCTCTCTCTCTCTCTCTCTCTTTCTATCTATCTATCTATCTCTTCTTTTTTACTTTTTCATACACACGCGTACGAGGAAAATTTATCACCGGCTTTTAATTCCCACGAGAACCGAATTCGTATTCTTCTTGAGAAAGAGAACAGCTTTGTGCAAGTATTCGTCTTTGTTTCTAACGATACACATTTACTGTATGTGTCTCTTTTTCTCTCTCTCACTCTCTCTCTCTCTCTCTCTCTCTATCTCTTTCTCTTCCTGTCCTCGATCTGAAATTTCAAATATTCTTCATAACTCTTGATCGTGAGAGATGTAGATAGATAGATAGATAGATAGATAGATAGATAGATAGATAGATAGATAGATAGATAGATAGATAGATAAATAAATAGACAGATAGATAGAGAGAGAGACCGTATTTTTCGCTTGTATTTCAATCCTCGACCTTATCCGTTTTCTATTGTACTTTTCTCGATAAAAAAAAAAGATAACAAAAAATAAGAGAAAAATATACACACACATATATATATATATATATATATATATATTATCTTGTGATCATTATCATCATCATCATCATCATTGCTGTCGTCGTCGTCGTCGTCGTCGTCATTACTATTATTATTATTATTATTATTATTATTATTATTATTATTATTATTATTATTATTATTATTATTATTATTACTATTGTTATTACTGTTATATTGTTCGTTACCGCGCCACCCCCGCCAGCCCTTTTTTTTCTCTTTTCATATCGCAGAAAAATATAACTGCGGATCGAGAACATTAGAATTTATTAAACGCTCGTGCCGCGTGAATATCGATAGGAGCAATCGTTTCCGTTATTGGTACGTTTGGATGATCGATAAAAGAATGGACAACGTCCAGATAGAGTTACGTCCGATGTAGGTATAATATGTATATACATGCATGCATATATGCATAAAATGAAATGCTTCGATGACCGTCTATCGATAACGATCGATTAATGTGTATTCGCGATAATGGTTTCGAGGGTTCGACTTTATCATACTGATAGAGAGAGAAAGAAAGAGAGAGAGAAAGAAAGAGAGAGAGAGAGAGAGAGAGAGAGAGAGAGAACCAATATTTCTATTTCTTTTTTTCTTATCCATTTTCTCTCTTCTTGTTACAAAAAGAGAGAGAGAGAGAGAGAGAGAGAGAGAGAGAGAGGGAGAGAAAAAGAAAAACAATATTATTCGTGGAACAATGAAACGTGACTTGAATTGATTCAATAGCTATAATTAATTTTGAAAATATGTGAATATGTATTTAAAATGGTCTTCCACTTCAAACGTTAACTTACAATTAGATGTCCCGATCGTGAGGAAAATTTAAGCCGAATGTGATGAGGAATTCTATGAGATGGTAGATATGACTACTTAAAATTGCAAAACGAGTAGTCTCTCTCTCTCTCTCTCTTTCTTTCTCTCTCTCTCTTTCTCTCTATATCTCTCTTTCTCTCTATATCTCTCTTTCTCTCTCTTTCCCTACACGTTCTTCTCTCGGTTCCAGGTAGTCGTCAGGATCTTAAACCGTGGAATAGTAATTTCCTTTATTGCCAGCATTATCGTTATCCCACAGGTCGCCTTGATAGTTATCTTTCTTGGTGTGTTCTTTTGCTAACGTTTGGATGGAACTTTTGGGGGAGGGATTGGGTAGGCGAAAAAAAAAGTGGATGAGAACATTTTCGAGTTGGACTTTTTATTTTCCTCTGGTAAAGTACTATTCTGTATGTATTAATAGAAAATTCGTTAAGGGGGTTTATTGGGATCATGTTCGAAGGAACACGGGGACCCTTCAAACGGGATTAAAATTTTCAAAGTTCAGAGTTTCATTGATCTGAGTGAATAGTTTTTCATTGGTATGACGAGTGAAGGATTACGCCGAAGCATGATTACTTACTTCTTTTTTTCTTTTTTATAATATCATCACGCGACACAACGTATATTTTTTGAATAATAAAAAAAAAAAAAAAAGAAAAAAAAAAGAAAAAAGAAAAAGAAAGACAAGTTCCATTCGAACTTCGTTCATAAAGATTAAACGGATCGGATTATCCAAAAGCTCGGCTGCGATTTGTATCGATAGTTTCTCTCCCTCTCTCTCTCTCTCTTTCGACGATCGTAGTAAATATCTTTCGCATTTATCATTTAAATCTTCGTTCGGTTTGCAATCAGAGAGAGAGAGAGAGACAGAGAGAGAGAGAGAGAGAGAGAGAGAGAGAGAGATCGGGAGAGAAGAGGAGAAAAAAATGACCTACGAGTGTCATTATCATCGCGGATGATAAATTTTCATCGCTGCGACGCTCGGCTCCGACATGTATTATAGACCTCCAACAACGGCATGCAAGCCCGGTTGTCGATACATACGCCGCGAAAACTGGTTGCGGTTGTTGCAATATTGTCAGCAATTTCGTCCCGTGGCACCGTGCAAATATTGTAACAACTGTGTCTCGTATATATTATACCAGGCGATATATTCGAATATGAGATATATTCGATAACTCTTCGAAATATTTCGAACGTAACAATAATTTTCTCTATACTATCATTTTTCTTTCGCGATTAGATTTTCCTCGTTGTTGATTAGACGATTACATAATCATATACATAGATACACGTACACAGATATATCCACATATTTTCTTTTTTATTATACTCATTTGTATTGTTACATATGTATATACGTATATATATATTTCCTTTTTTCTCTTTTTTTTTTTTTTTTTTTTGTTAAGTGTAACTACAACTTTTTACAGGTTCAATAAGTAAACAATTAATATTTAAGGTGAACAGTTTCATAAAAAAAGAGAGAAAAAGAAAAGGAAGAGAAAAAAAATGGTCGTGGTAGTAGAAATAATCGATGATACACCTAAAGAAAAATTATTCCTAGGAGGTTGGAGAAATACTATTACAGGAATATCATATTATAATGCTTTTACGCAAACATCTGCAGATGGTAAGGATGTTAAAAATAAGTGCAATTGTTTCGTACAAACGACGGATCCCGTGAATGTATCTACGTGTACGTATCGCGACAAGTCTATTCGAACGAGCTACGTGCCTGACTTAGAAGACAGATTTATTCGAGTCCGTGATATTTTTAATACGGGCACAAAACTAATAGGATCGACAAATTTGTCGGAGGAAGCTAGTGCAATAAAAATACAGAGATTTTACAGGTAAGAATATAATATTTTTGGTTTCTTAAATTAAAACGATCCTTTCGATTGCGAACATTTGAGAATGAATTTTTTAATAACGAATTAAATATTTACACGAGATAAGAATATTTGTTCTAATTTAATTTTTTTCTAATCTAATTTAATCCTTATACATATAAGATATATTATTGTATATTAATCTTAGTTGTACCTGTGGTACGAGGGAATGGGAGATGTAGGACATTTCAGACGAACTTTGAACTTAATTAAAACAATTCGCGCATTGAATTGTGAATGTTTTTCTTCTTTTCTTTTTTTTTTTTTATAATTTTAGAATTAAAAATGTGATCATTATTTTCGAGGCTTTAAAAAGTATACGTCATTTTTTTACGAATAAAAATTATTCATTCCCTATAAATGATCAGCTATTTAAAGTGTCTAAGGGAAATAGCGTAGTCCAAGTGTACAATTTGACATTATTTTGTAGTGTACATAACTAAGAATAAAAAAATCTTCATTTCATTAAATTATATTATCATTATATCAATACATTAGATATCATTATTAGTAATATATCTATAAGTTAATTGGTTTATTTATCACGAAAATTGTATTATTTTTGATAGGGCTTATCGTGCAAGATACGCTGGTACAAGTTCCTCTCAAAATTTCATTCAAGAAAGAAACGATTTTGGAGAAGACTCAAGGCGTCCACTCGAGAGGATAGATCTTGAGAGGTTAGATGGTCTGCAGCCGGAAACGAAATCCGATTTCGATCGGCTCTACAACGCTTTGGACCAATGGCGTATTTTGGAGATCGAACGAGTGACCGGTAAGCTTTTCCGCCCGTCGAAGATCGCCGTTTGTAGTCTCATCCTATCGAGAGAAGTAGAACTCCTTCGTAAGATAGACGCGATGAAGAGTGCGGCGAAGCTGAAGTTAAAGGAACGACGTAGACGTAACTTCCTCGAGGAGCTTTCGAAACCTGTCCTTTGGAGGATTAATCAAGGAGAATCGATCTTAGTAGACACACCGATCGTTCAAAGGTCTCGACAATTTCGTAATCTCTACGACATGCTTTGCACGAAAAACGATTTTACGAATTCAAAGCGTATGGAACTATTGATAGGGATTAAAAAGGAAGCCGAGCCTCATACCTGCATTTATTCCGACGAATTGATTTATCTTATAAATCAAGAGATCGATCTTTTATCCCTTAGGATCGACGTGTCCAAATTGAATTGCCTGAGAGATCGTATCGCAATCGCTTTTATATTGTTCGCCAATAATTCATTGAAAAATTATCAAATAAGTATTATGGATAATGTTATAGATCGTAATACAAAAAGATTTTGTAAATCCTGCGGTAGAATTTTATCATCGATAAAATATCATCGTCATCATCGATTTCGTAATTTTTCGTCGTGCGTTTATTGCATCGGTTTACGTCCTGGTAGGACTCCAAGGATCGTCTACGAGCCGTATCGACGAATGCTGAAAGAGGTCAGGCGTCTAGAGACGAGTAACCGTTGTCACACGGGCTTTGCTTTCGTTATACCTCCCAAGGTCGTTTATCGTCTGGTAAACGGCATCTGGCACGGAAAATCCGCTATTTCCGAGTGCGACCAGCTCGATCGATTGTGTCTCTTACGTTTTCGTAATGACGTAGAATGGTCACCCTGGAATACTTTACTCTTGACCAAAGAGGAAGCTCTCAAACATCGGAGGATAAGAAATCTTCAAGATTTTTACGATGCCGAGCTTCTTCGAAAGTTTCATATGAAAAATTTGCAAGCCAAACTTACCTTTCGATATTTATTAGAAACGAAAGGAAATATCGATTTTTAATTTACCTTATTCGTAATTCTTAATGTTAATGAAGGATAAAAACATACATAATATAAAATGTTAATTTGATTTTCACGTGCGAACGACACGATACGACGTAAAAAAATGATATCGCAATTTTATTTTTTTTGCGATTTATAATATTGATAATAGATAAACATAAAGTGAAGATCAATGAAAAAAAAAAAACAAAAGAAAGAAACAATATGGATGATATAAAATGTAAGTTTGACTTAAATTTCTCGCGCGAACATACGATAAGAAAAAGAAAAAGAAGAAGAAAAGATGAAGAAAAAGAAATGAAAGAAGAAGAATAAGAAGAAGAAGACGAAGCGGATGGACGTCGAGCGCGTATTAAATTCTAAAAGTTATCGTTGTTCTGCTTCTTTCGTTGAGCCTGTCTTCGTGCTTTCGTGAAAAGCTTTTGGTCGCGTTGATAGCGCGAGTTAATCGCGTTGCAGTTTATAAACTAAGTTTCCGTCCAAGCGAGAAGGTACTCATGAATGCGTCTAACGTTCTAAATGGCATTCTCATAACGACTTCAAGGACGAACGACGTCCTTCCTTCCTTCCTTCCTTCCTTCTCTCTCTCTCTTTTTATTTTTTTAATTTTTTTTCCTTCATTTCAATGCCAAAGGTAATGATAAAAGGATGATAAAATGTTGAAAATATTTTTTTCGGAGCATTGAACGAATTTGAAAAAAAAAACAAAAAAAAAATGAAAAAAGAAAAAAGAAAAGGATCGAGGGATCCGGTTATTATTTATCCATCTCGTAGAAATCATAAATAACAAGGGCAAACTATAAATGGATGGATGCATATATCCAAGTATAAAATATTCTTTTATAAATGGTCATAAAATTTAATGTAAAAATATATATATATATACCTCTCGCCCTCATCTCCTCCAGCCCTTCTATATATATATATATATATATATATATATATGGGGTGAAGTATCGTTTTCTTTCTTTGTTTTTTTTTTTTTTGGAAGGGCTGTAGGAAGTGAGGGCGGGAGGTATGTTAAATCGGAGCTCCTATCGTCGGCTATTCAGACGATGGAATATTCAGCCGGCATCGAGAACAATGAGAGCTTAACATGTCCCGAAGAGTTTTCGCGCAGAACGACAAAGAGAAGAGGACATTTCAACGAAACGTTTCCCAGGGGTGTCATTTCGAACGAGAAAGTCTCTCTTTTCGAATACGGTACAACGAGTCGATTTTGTATGTCGCGTCTCGGACATACATACCAGACTAGTACGACTTCAAAAAGAGATCAAAAAGAAAACTTTTCGACAGATTGGATTTTCTTTCTCTTTTTTCCTTCTTCTTCTGTTTTCTCTCTCTCTCTCTCTCTCTCTCTCTCTTTTTTTCCCTTTCTTACGATTGAGATCGAATAATTATGCATGAACTATTTTTCTTTTCGACATACGATTGCTCGTATATGTGAAGTTCGAAAAAGTTGTCCTTTTTTTCTTTTTGATGTATCAAAGTATAAAGGAAAGGAAGGATGGAAGGAAGGAAGAAAGGAAGGAAAATATAAGAAAGGAAGGAAAATATAAGAAAGGAAAAGAAAAAAAGGACTATAAAAGAAAAGAGAGAGAAAAAAAGAAAGAAAGAAAGAATGTGTGGTCGAATATATATATATATATTACTTTGGTCGCAAGAAGGACTCTTCTTGATCTACGTCGAGTCGTTTGCCACGTTGAGAAAGAATAGAGGAACGGAGTTTTCACAATTCGGGGATGGGGTGGTGAGTTGGAGTAAGAGGTGGCCCAGAATATCTTAATTTTCAGCAACATTAGTTTCCCGTTTTTTCTTACGATTTGTAACGCCTTACGTAGGACATAAACCATCAAGGCCAAATTTTGATATCTATCTACGTTTTTCTCATTGTCCAATTCTCCCTTCTCACTGTCCCCGATAATAATCCTTCCATTTTTCTTACAGGACGAGATCCAAACGACTTTCCTTTATATACATACATATATATATATATATATATATATATATATATACATTTGGATAATATTTCTTAGATACATTGTCGAACGTAATTTGAATCAATAAAACTTTTAAAATTATTTATTCGTCCATCTAAAGTTTGACTAATATGTACATAATATTACCTATACATAATTATTTTTATTAATTCCGATATAATCGCAGATCCACTTTCTTCTGTTTTGTTTGTTAAACTCTAGGAGCCAATGGGAGATAAGACGCGCCAAGGAACTTAAGTAATTTGTCTTCATTTCCGGCACAAGGATCGTTTATAGTTGCGAAATGTTACGTTAGGCACGTAAAGTTATTAAACATAGTACCGATAGCCGTGGCTTTCCTATTGAAATAAAGTTTCGGAGTTTAAATTAGAATAGTTTCGTATGTACTTTCTCTCTCTCTCTTTCTCTCTCTCTCTCTCTTTTTCTCTCATTTCACTGGTCTTTCCATCTTTCTTTCTCGTGGTTGGACGTGCGAAAGTACAGATGCAGAACGTAGTACAATAAATAAAACCGATCTTAACTCTACGATATAGACAAGGACAGATATATCAACGTCAAATAGACGGTCCGCTTTAAATGCAAATTCAAGATCCTTACTTTCTCTTCGCTTGTCTTTCTTTATATTTCTCTTCCTTTTACGATACCCGCACGAATCGAATAATCTATACGGTTTCTTTGGCGTCTTCAAAAAAAAAAAAAAATTTTTTTTTATTTTTTTTTTCCTCTTTTCCTTTTCTTGTTTTTTCGCGCTCGATTGAAATCGTTTCAATGAAATCAAATTTGCAACTTTCGTATATGGTCGTTTATCAATATCCGTTTCGGACAGTCAACTATGTTACGTTTTTTTTTTTTTCTTTTGATATAAAACAGTAAATATATATATAGAGAGAGACAGAGAATGGTTGACGAAATGATCGAGGAGTAAAAAAACAAAGCGAACATCCATATGCGTAAAGCATATCGTGGAATTTTAAAAGAGTCTTTGACGTTCGTTCGACGTATAAATTTTTGAATAAAATCATTCGGCGTAGTTGTGTTTAATCTTTTTTTTCTTTTTTGTTTTTTTTTCTTTTTTTTTTTTTTTTATTCCGAAACGAAGTTGCGAATCGTGGAAGCTAGAAAATTTCACGCTCGATTTATTACTCTTTCTCTCCTAATGACATTCGCGACGTTACCTACGTTTCGATTAAACGATAACTTTATCCAGCTAATGCATTGTCCGTTTTAAGCACGTTAATGAGTTTTACCACACATAGACAGACACACACACACACATATATATATATATTATATAATATATGTTATATATATATATATATATATATGAGAAATTGGAGCAACGTATCGTTCGTACGTTTTATACTAGGATCGACGTGGTTAAAGAGCTAATGGACACTGCCATAACGCTGCTTGTCAACGACTAACGATTTTATATGAAAGCTTGCTCATCATTTTCATCAAAAATAAAAATGTTCTTTTTGTATATATTGCTGAGAGAATGAATATAATTTATCTATACATATAATATATACATATACATATATATACATGTATGTATATATGTATACGTAAAGGGGTAAGCGTTCCCAACGAATGACTAATTGCATCGATTTGTGAAGTCGATTCAAAAGGCCGGTTTATTAAAGAACTCACTAATTGTTCGCGTAATTTTCGGGTAGTCATTATCAACTTGTTCATCACCATCAAGTAGGTCGACCTGTGAATGTTAAAAGGTATGAACAATAAGCCATATATCGAGCCGTTCAATTCATTATTTAAATGTGATGGGAACAAGAAAAAAAAAGGACAAAAAAAAAGTAGAAGAAAGAAAAGAGAAAAAGAAAAATAACCTAAACTTTTGTAAAAGTTCAATCTAATTGAAATTAGAAATGTTTTATACTTTAAACCTTTACGTACGTTAGATATTACAGATAGATATAATCTAATGCTTTTCGATCGATCGTTCAACGAGAACCAAACTTTACCTTTGGTGAACATTTAAATCCGTGTAGATATTCTCGGTAATCCAAACGATATATTAATCAGCAGAGCACCAGCAGGAAAGCTTTCTTGACATAGGAATATGACGTAACGATAACACGTTTCCATCCTTTTCTAACTAGCCAGGGATTTGCGGTAGTATTAGTGGCCGGTTAGTTGTATATATAGTCGATCCCTTAATAAGTATGGAAATTAATATCAAATCGCGAGCGCTGATGTTTAGCTACCTCTCTCTCTCTCTCTCTCTCTTTCTCTTTCCAAACGTATACTTACTCGAAGGATATGTATACACACGTGTGTGTGTATATATATATATATATACATATACACATATATACACACACATGCATACAAGCGATTCCCATATACATCTCTCTCTCTCTTTCTCTCTCTCTCTCTCTCTCTCTCTCTGATCGCGGAAAACACGGGTACGAAGTGATTCATAACACGGGCATCGCATAAATTGCTGGTGATATGTTGGTGCGCAATTAGGGTTTGCTAAATCGGCATTACTAATTAGATTTGGTTATACCTCGCGGCTCCGCGGGTATCCCCTGACTACCATCGTCGCAACTATGTTACTATTACCACTACTATCACTACTTACTATTACGAGTGACGTTCTGATACTAACACAGAGAGTCAAACGTTATACTATTGCTGTACTCGTCATCACTGTCGTCGTCGTCGTCATCTTCATAGTCGTAATCGCCGTCGTCGTCGTAGTCGTTGTCGTCGTCGTCGTCGTCGTCGTCGTCATCGTCGTCTTCATCCAAGTGGCTAGGTGATATAGCTATAGATGTAATTGATTTGAGTTTCAAACTAATCTATATCTGAAGCGGGCCTCTCGATGGTGATCGATAATCGTTCATAAATGCCGTGGGAATGTAGGAAGTTAAGGCACGCATAATCGATGCCCCTAACCACCTTGACCACTAGAATTTGCTCATGGGATGAGCGGAATACCAAATATTTGATAATTCTCCATTAACTTGTA